ATAACACCTTGCATTTATATTTTATTTTTAAGTCCAAAAATTTGTAACAAATGGTTTGCACCATACGAGAACGTAAACATCTCTGCATCTGCTGCTCGATATTCTGAAGATGCTGCTGAGATGGAATTTTTAAAAAGCATCGGTTTTAAAAATGGGGAAATTTTGATAACATGACTGGTCCCTTCATCTTTATGCAAAAAAAGGGATCTGTTCAACAAATTAATACCACAAATGCAAGCCATAATTAACAAATAATTACAAAAAATACTGCACACTGTACTCACCTTAACTTTAAAAAAATAGGTAATATTAAGATTACAATTCAGATGAGCAAATTTAGATAAATAACCAAAACGTTTAACATATATTCGTGTTTATTTTTATTTTTATTTATTTATCTATTATTATTATTTTTATTTTTTTGCACAGTTTAACAGGTAAACATGGATTAGCCACATCAGTTTGTAACTTCATGTAATTTTCGCAAATTGGGCCTTAAATGTGTGAACTTTACATACTGCATTGATCAAACAAAATGATCGATTGTGGTCCGTAAAAATGACACTTTACATTCGACAAGACAGCAAGTTTTCAAGCTTCAAAAAACTCTACAATTACGAGTTTTAAGTACTAAATTTCGAGTTCTCCTTGCTATGGAGATAAAGACTTATGAATTTCACACGTGGTGATAGAATTATAGAAATTTGGAACCCCAAACGTAATTTTCAGATCGTAGTTTCGAAACGTTTTTGGGATCAGGAGAAATTGCTGGAATTTCCATTTTTTTGTTTGTTTAATTAGGGGTCTAGCCCTCATTGTATGTCTTCAAAATCAAGAATTTTATTACAGGAGTTCGAATCGAGTAAAAATATTGTAAATGCCAAGTTCCTAATGATGAGTGAAATGCTCTCTACTTAGAAAATGAAAATATGAATTTTTCAAATATTTTGATAGAATTTTGTCAACTAAGCATTAAATAATTTTAAAAATGAATTAATTATGTATTATTTGCAAGAGCAATAACGTAAGACTGCTTTAGTAAGTTTTATTTCTCTCCATAGCATTTTAAGGAACGTGAAAAAGTAACATAAATCATCAAATGTGCAAAATTACCTGAACAGAGTTTTCAAGGTTGCTTTTTTTCATCTTTTGTTGAAAAGGTCAAACTGAGCTTCACTTGTCAGTTTCTCTGAACAAGATAAATAAGTTTTCCGTTTTTTAGCATTATATTTACTTTGAAATAAACGTTAAGTCACAACTTGCTGCCTTGCTGAAGAATACCGCATATAGTTCTACAAACGTCACGGAGGCAAACTCAGACTTACAATTATAGTAAAACATGTTTAAAGGCATAAGGGGCGCTTTTATTTTTGGTGAAATAAAACCAGTCTTGTTACTAATGACTACGCAGTTTTAAATATGCTACGTTTTGAATTTTCACAGAAGTCTTTGAAATTTGGAGGCAAAAAATCATGGTAAATTGCTTTAGACAACGTGATATTGACATTAGCCATAAATGAGAAATATCAAAATTACGTTCAAATTTAAATTGCAAATTGGCGATAGCAATTCGCCCCCTATGCCTTGAAAAGGGTTGCTTTCATAATCAGCCACGCAAAAAGCATTGTAACTATTAACTAGGTCACACACTTCAGTGGGTCATTGTATGGTATTATTTGTGAAATCATGCCAAAATAAGAAATGGGAGTATATCACTAAACCTTTATCCTGTCCGTTAATCTTCAATTGCGACTCTTTTGCTGAACTATAATTATGACACAAAATCTTATTCAAATCTACTTATAAAATTTCAACAGCCAAAATTTTAAAAGAGCCATTCCACAGAATTTTCCCCATCTCGATTATTTCGCCTGTAAAACTTAATTCCACTACTAAATCTACCGATGTAGTTTCAAGTTCTGTGAAGTTAACGTGAGGTACAACTTCCCTGTCATGAGGTGCGTGATGAAATAAAGGTGTCATGGAGGACACAAATTATCACGTGGGGAAAATTTTGGTGGATGGCAAAACCCAGTGTTCAACATACAGCTGTCAAACTCATTTTTAAAATGCATCAAAGATAAGTTTTCGACAAATACCTAAAGCCATTGTCTTAGAACGTTTCGTTAAATCGGTTAAAACTGAAATATCCATATATATATACTTAGTATCCTGGCCGCCTCGCATCCACACCCTGGTCACTCAGAACTGAAGAAGTGACATCTCTTCCAAGGGTTTATGTTTCAAATGATCCATGGGGGTAGGAAGCAGGAAGAGCAAGGTTCTATTTATAAGTTAGCATAAATTGACAGACAAAACTTGATAAACAATGTACATGTACAAAAAAATAGTAATGCTCAGAAAGCTTTTGTTTCCCGCATATTTCGAAATACACCAGATTAAATTAATTAAATTTAGCTTCAGACCCTTCCACACCCCAAAGTAAAATGACATTATGTAGGTCACTGGCTGTCCATATATGGTCTACTGCATACTGCGATCTGAGCAGTTTTTGCCAGGTGTGTCAAACCAAACCGTTCTATTGCGCCATCTGGAGGGGAACAGAAATTATCTTCTCTGCTGCAATCGGTAGCTAAACAGATTGTTTTAGCGTGTGTGTGTGTGTGTGTGTGTGCACGCGCTTGTGCGTGCTTAATCTTTAGCACCACAGAAATGGTGATAATAATGCAATTCGAACTGGCATATATATACAAAGGACTCTGGACTTGATATACAATAGATAATCCTTTATGAGAATAACACCAACAGTACACGTTCTCGACAAACTGTAGGGGCATCATCTCTGCTCGCGGTCAGCTGTCATTTTGGCACTGTTAATTATATGAATTCAAAAACCATATAAAACGACCTCAAAATACTGCACCAGTCTTGCAAAATGTAAAAATATAATGATAAAATAAATAAACCCATAATTAGAATAGAATTGAATAGATGGAAAGTAAATAGATACATACATACATACATACTACATGCTATTAACATCTTTTATGTACCCTAAGTAATGATAAATACGGTATATGGAATTTAAAAAAAACATTATTTAGAACGCTTTACAGCTGTCGTGTGATCATTTGTAAACCAAAGGACATACGATTGAAAGAGGGACAACGTTAACTTTCTTGACTAATTTAGAGGGGGGGGTCAGGGGGGACCTTACCCCCCCCCCCCCCCCCCTTCAGTTTCTGGAAAAATCTCACTAATATTCCCCTCTTGGAATTACAATTTTGCCTAGCTGATTTATATAACATTAACCGTTCAAACTGGCCCCGTGCGCCCTCTAAAATACCAAAAATAAAAAACAACTTCGGGGCCCTTTAGCGGGCCACGAACCCTAGGCCAACAGGGGGGAGGGGGGAGGGGGGGTTCGCATCCCTTCAAATAATCCTGGATCCGCCCCTGCAAGGTGCATATGATATATAGAAATCAGGAAAAACATGTAGATAGATTAATTGTTCACGTGTGACCATTGCTGCGGGACACCTCAGTTAATTACTTACTCCATATCATTACGGTACGATTTAAACCGAAATCAAAAGTAATTTTTTATGTAAACAATTATTAAGATATGTAGCTTTAGGAATTTTACTTACATATTGTCTTTTTGCTTTATTTTTATTACTAATATTACCTATAATTTAATTCAATTTTAGTTCATTATTATTTTAATTAAAATTATTAATCTATTTAGCTTTTATTCACTACACAATAATTTATTCTAAACCCTCAGAGGGCCCTCTTTAAATAAAGTTTATCATCATTATCTCGTTTAGCGCTCTCGCATTGAGATAGATTCTGTATAAAATGGAGTTGCCTTAAATTACTTTTGAATCTGAAAGAACTTCATATTCGATGATAACGATTTGTGGTAACGACCTTCAATAATCCATCTATTTCAACTCTACAAAATAGCTCTAAATTATTCACAACTGTTAGACCCGCACAAGAATATTAAAAGAAAAAGTCGACAGCGATGATGTTTTTTTTTCTCATGATCAGTATTTACACGTATATGGAAAATTGGTTGTCGGGGATGGCGTATCGACCTTTTACTTGCGAACGGCTGCAGAATAATGAACTCCGACTCCGACTTAGACAACTCTATTCTGTGAACTTCGTTGCATTTTATTATAAACGCTTTAAAGTCTATAAGAAACGCGACTGTTGATCTTCCCCAACCTAGGTTCGCCTACCGACTTAAACCAGTGAAATTTGCTTTTAACATTTAATTACTACTGAGGTTTGATATCAAATTATGGCTTTGAAAAAAGTGTAAAGGTATTGCGTCACCCGGTCGCAAGACCATTATAGACGGAACTTCCCCAGTCGTATGCTGCGTCACCGTTTTAGTGACAATGGCGTCCAGCGCATGTTTGTAAAGAGGATATATCTCAAGTTTCCTTTCTTTCATACAGGTAGATCACAGGCTGATTAGAATCGTAGTTATCGTACACTAATTAGTCCACCTGATACTGTCCTTGTCGTTATTAGCATCCCTAATTAAGTGACGTATGTAAGACAATTGAACCTCACCTAATGGTCACGCGTCACGACCCATTGTGGTCCGATTTAAGGTTATTTCTATCACTTAATTTGATAATCATAAGTTTTCAAATTGATAGCGATACCACAACATTGGGAAGAAATAACATAAATGACATGCCGATCTTCGGCTTTCAATGGACAGTCTGCTACTACTTCCTTGCAAGTGACCAAAAGTCACGACTTCGATGCAAAAACCCATCTGCAGCTGCGTTAATTGTAATCCATAACTGAGTATATCATTGACTCGAAAAAGAAGTCAACGTTCCTAAAATCGCTCTGGATGCTTTCATCGCTTGCCTAATAACTAACTTAATCACTTGCGCAAGATTGCTATCACCATTCCTCATCAGCATCGGGGCAATCAACGCTCCAATGGTACTGGCTGGAGATTACGCTGAATTTCCCTATCTCTCTTCTAAAGGGAATCCTGCATCTTCTTGGGTCGCCGCGCGTTGCAATTAAGTCCCAATTATTCTCCACGATAACCCCAGTGACCCACGGCACCCTGCCTTATTTCCTTAAAAACTCCTGAATGCATTAAACTCGTCGTTAGAATTAATAGCGGGCTCAGGTGAAAGATAACGTTGGTCGACGGAGTCAGACCGTAGAATTAAGCGAGGGAAAAAAGTACACGATGGTCCCCCTTTGCTAAATAATCATTTAGGGCAGCTGAGCGTTTAAACGATTCTGCACGGTCCGTGAACATCGAGAGGCTCTAGGGTGAAGACGGAAGTTGCCGTGACAGAGTGGATCTCTTTGCACCACCGTCGGGCCACGGAGTAGCAGGCTCCCAGGTTTCATGTAGGGTAAGATATAGAAATCCGCCATTTTATAAAGATTTTAGCAATTATTACATAGTTATGTCATTCTTTACGTTTATTTTTGATTTTTTAACGTTTTGCATTAATTTTGAAAGTACATAATTGGTATAAGACGTATGATTAGTTGAATGGCAATCACTACAACATCCCCCCTCATTGTCAGTTTCGTAATACTTTACGTAAAGTCAACGTACATAAATGTCTTCGTGATACAGTAGTATCAGTACAGACAAGGGGGCATCAGCCGTGGTGAGTTAGCAAGGAATGCGTACGATATTTTGTCTTATTTTGTGTAATTTACCAAGTGATGATTTTAAGTGATATTAGTCAATTTTGAATAATTCCTGCATCTATAAACCGATATCTGTTAGCAACAGATTAAGCAGAGGTCAGAGTAAAGAGAAAAATTATTTATTGAAACTGGAATAAAAAAGTAACGCCATTACTTCTTAAGGGATTATTGGACAAATTATGGGCCGTATCTGTCCCTATTCCATAGACGTGATATCGAACGTGTTCATTATCTTTTACTGATGTTGTGTTTTAAAATAAGTCTAAGACCTCGTCTTCGGCGTCACATATGGACGGAGAAGGTTACAGTGATATCACTTTTTTTAAATTTTCTACCTGTGTCCCATACACAAATTGTAAGGGGTTTTATAAACTTTATGTGAATTTATTTATAGTATTCTGACATATTGATATCTGCCAGATCAGAACTTAACTTTTGTGAGAGTAGAAAACCCTTGTAGCGTGTTGTCTAATTTGCTATTCGTTTTTAGTATTTTCTTTTTATCGTGCCTTTTTGTTTTGTTTGTCACAATCTATTCTCTAGTTTTTTGTAAACATACTATGGGTCTATTTCCAGGGCTAATAAAGACAAGCTAAGTGAGAGGATATTGTCAAGAGAATCATCCAGACGCTAGCGAACGCTAGTGAAACTGGGAAGGTTATTATAACGCCCCGTAAGTACACCTATTGTTTTGCGATTCCGCATAAATTTTTTTTTTAATTCTGATCGCTCGAAACGGAGAACTTATTGATGTTGTGTCTTTGTAAAGATGAAACAAAGCAGTTCTGTTTAAGATGAAATCGCTTTGAAGGTATATCGATTTTAAGTCACGCAGTTGAATTTCTAAAACAACTTGCTATTTTAATATATTCCCATAAACAGCGAATGAACTAGAATGTATCATATTTTCTTCGTTTTTTATTATTTTTTCTGTTCGAAAACCGTTCATGAAGATTAAGGCATTAAAAATTTTCAATCCTTGCTAGCGTGCTTAACCACAATTCGCCTTCATCTTAAATTATGCATACGCAAACTTATTACCTATTCTTGTTAAAAATGCAGATTGTCTGATTCAGATGGCAAGATAAGAGTTCTTGGTTCGGTGTGAACCGTATATTAAGTGTAAGGTATAATTTGTAAAGATTTTCCGCGTTGTAACAATTGTGCAGTGCAAGGTTGGATGCAAAAATGTATATGAAGTACATTTCAGACAAAAAACTCCTGGACAAAACTTTGTTTTCATGTCCATCGAATATAAATTAAAGTTTAATATGGCCTATAAATCGCATCACCCGACTTCAAATCTAGTTAAAAATACAGCGCATGCGCAAAATAATCTAGAATTTCCCGGTCGTGACGTTTATAATGAGGGTATGATACGACTCCCCTCCCCCTTTATTATATCTTGTAGATAGAAATGAATATATACGCCGTGTAATTTTGCCTCCTCTATCATGCGTTTGTGCAGTCCGTATGTGTCATTCATAAGCAAATTGTTCAGATGTCTCGAGGAATTATAGATCTGCAGGGAATCTATCTAGATTATGATACGGAGCGTGACAAGGAAAAGTATAGACAACATCAACTTGACAGACATTTTGTCTAATCTAATCATGTAAAAACTATGCACGCCGCTTTACCTATGTAGTGTTGGGTCTCCAGGCCCGTAGTCAGGGGGCTCCTGGGGGGGGGGGGTTCGAAAGACCCCCCCCCCTTTTTTGCCAGGAAAAGGTCCCCTATGTACATGAAGGTTTCATGATAAAAGGTCCACCTTTTTAAGAAAAAAAGAAACCCCCTTTTGAAATTGCTGGCTACGGGCTTGGTCTCTTTTGGTTATCGGTTGAAACAAACGACATTGTTCTTCGGGTGCGGGAAGGAGAAAAAGTTGAATGTCACTGGGTAAGTCGGGAAGCTCCAGGAACTTCCTTGTTCTGGTGACAGAAAGGGGGGGGGGGTAAAAGTCAACAGTCTTTGTGGGAAATATCATTTCATGTCTTTCTAACATCTATTTATCCGACAATCACGAAGTACATTAATTTGAAATGTGCTCATCTCCATTGCAAGATTGATTACCTGATACAGTTATCTGGACATAATTTTTCGATGTTTCCAGCGATATCCTCTTTTGCCTACTTATTGCTTATTCAAGGTGAATTTTCACATTCATTTTAATTAAGTGGGACCTAATTGAGGTACGGTGATTAATGTGGGACGTACGCCGACAAAGAAATGCAAATGTGATGCATTTTAGTCATTAAAGAATCTATTCTATATTTTCATGATATCTAAAATTGTGAAAGTTTAAATTTCTCTTCTTATAAAGGTATAACGCTGTCAAGGCGAATTCATCACTTTTAGTGAACCTTTTACGCCAATTACCAAAAGAAAGAAAATAAAGGAGTTTACAAAGAGTGGGTTTTAAGTTCAATATGAATCGAGATAAGATGTACTGAAACAGGCGCCATGTTTAGACGTTGGAGATTTTATTAACGATATCAGCTATTGTAACTTTGGAACAAAGAAAAACAACTTTTGTCACAGACAATCTAAATTATCACGTACATCACTACAGACCAACATAAAAATTAATACCACATAATCGTCAACCCGCGAAATATGCAGTGGAACAAAATATCTATTAGAATTACAAATTAGCTTGAATATATATAGATAAATCAAAGAGAAATTCCACTGATCAACTGAATTCTGGTTTTAAAAGTTATAAATAAAATGCGGTTTGTTACGGGCAGACAGATATGTATCTTTTTTACCCTGAGGCCACGAAAGTGTGCGTCATTTTGTGTACCTTCCTTTGAGGAGACTAGACCGTAGCCGCCGCGGTGGGGTTTTACATTAAAAGGTGGTATTTTCGATTACAACCCGATTTTTGTATAGATAAAAATATGCATCTCTTCTGATTTCTTTTTGATAATGATGACTACTCTGCACTGATGATAAGGCTGATACTTTTTGTTATACGAGAGTAATAAGAATTTTGTGGTCCAAACGTTTTTATACGTGTGATGACTGGTATGTACGTAAAATATAATAGAAATACGATGAAATAATTTTTCAACCACTGCCTTTAAACTGCTGAAGACGGCACTCGTTATTTTATGACAATAACAGAAAAAACAAGATTCATCAGTATCACAACAAAACATTTTACACACACACACACGAAAAAAATGTATAAGAATAATGCACCATCCAAAATACAATGTACAAGGGTATTTTAATTCCTTGCCAAAGAATGTATCGAAAGTTAATCACAAAATGTAAAATCCANGGGGGGTTCGAAAGACCCCCCCCCCCTTTTTTGCCAGGAAAAGGTCCCCTATGTACATGAAGGTTTCATGATAAAAGGTCCACCTTTTAAGAAAAAAAGAAACCCCCTTTTGAAATTGCTGGCTACGGGCTTGGTCTCTTTTGGTTATCGGTTGAAACAAACGACATTGTTCTTCGGGTGCGGGAAGGAGAAAAAGTTGAATGTCACTGGGTAAGTCGGGAAGCTCCAGGAACTTCCTTGTTCTGGTGACAGAAAGGGGGGGGGGTAAAAGTCAACAGTCTTTGTGGGAAATATCATTTCATGTCTTTCTAACATCTATTTATCCGACAATCACGAAGTACATTAATTTGAAATGTGCTCATCTCCATTGCAAGATTGATTACCTGATACAGTTATCTGGACATAATTTTTCGATGTTTCCAGCGATATCCTCTTTTGCCTACTTATTGCTTATTCAAGGTGAATTTTCACATTCATTTTAATTAAGTGGGACCTAATTGAGGTACGGTGATTAATGTGGGACATACGCCGACAAAGAAATGCAAATGTGATGCATTTTAGTCATTAAAGAATCTATTCTATATTTTCATGATATCTAAAATTGTGAAAGTTTAAATTTCTCTTCTTATAAAGGTATAACGCTGTCAAGGCGAATTCATCACTTTTAGTGAACCTTTTACGCCAATTACCAAAAGAAAGAAAATAAAGGAGTTTACAAAGAGTGGGTTTTAAGTTCAAATTGAATCGAGATAAGATGTACTGAAACAGGCGCGATGTTTAGACGTTGGAGATTTTATTAACGATATCAGCTATTGTAACTTTGGAACAAAGAAAAACAACTTTTGTCACAGACAATCTAAATTATCGCGTACATCACTACAGACCAACATAAAAATTAATACCACATAATCGTCAACCCGCGAAATATGCAGTGGAACAAAATATCTATTAGAATTACAAATTAGCTTGAACATATATAGATAAATCAAAGAGAAATTCCACCGATCAAACGAGTTCTGGTTTTAAAAGTTATATATAAAATGCGGCTTGTTACGGGCAGACAGATATGTATCTTTTTTACCCCCGAGGCCACGAAAGTGTGCGTCATTTTGTGTACCTTCCTTTGAGGAGACTAGACCGTAGCCGCCGCGGTGGGGTTTTACATTAAAAGGTGGTATTTTCGATTACAACCCGATTTTTGTATAGATAAAAATATGCATCTCTTCCGATTTCTTTTCGATAATGATGACTACTCTGCACTGATGATAAGGCTGATACTTTTTTGTTATACGAGAGTAATAGTAATTTTGTGGTCCAAACGTTTTTATATGTGTGATGACTGGTATGTACGTAAAATATAATAGAAATAAGATGAAATAATTTTTCAACCACTGCCTTTACACGGCTGAAGACGGCACTCGTTATTTTATGACAATAACAGAAAAATAAGATTCATCAGTATCACAACAAAACATTTTACACACACACACACGAAAAAAATGTATAAGAATAATGCACCATCCAAAATACAATGTACAAGGGTATTTTAATTCCTTGCCAAAGAATGTATCGAAAGTTAATCACAAAATGTAAAATCCAGTTTGCGTACTTCGCTTCTCTGGACATTTGTTTACCTCGGCAACCAAGAAATGGTGATATTCCTCTAATTATATAAACTTAAGGATATGGACAAAAGAGGTCGCCACTACCAGGAGCAGTCTTCCTTGTAATCTATGTTATATATTCTGATCTTATATGTACATGTGCGTTGACACGCACGAGGAAATGGGAGGTTTCGTAATCTCAGTATAAGATATAAGACCGTTTATACATATGCCAATGTATATATGATGCAGACATTACTTGGGAAGCATTGAAAGAAAATTCATTTTATAAAGAAAACGATACTGGGTATTATGTTGTGTTTTTTTTTTTTAGCGTTTTCCAAATTTAATATATTTAAACTTAATCCTTTTTAAAACATGAGATATTCTCGTTTTTGTTATTAACTATGTAAAACAATAACGTTGTTTGATTAATTTGTCGCTTTAAATAGAATAAAAAGCATAATTTAAAAACGTAGAAACTAGGCAACTATAATAACTGTTCACCCTATTACCTATATATTTACATTATTTCTTACATTTTTTTTATTTCTCTTTCAGTACAAAAAAAGAAAACAAAAAGATTTTTAAAAAGATGAAACCCAGGACCATCATGTTTTCCGCCAAAGAACTGACAATACTGTTGGTATTATGCCACTGTCCAAGCCTCATTTTAAGCACACTGGACACAGGGACATCTCTTTATAGCGGACTTGGCAGCTCTAGCCTATATGCTAGCCCTTACAGCACAAGCGCTTATCAAAGCCCATACGGAAGCGTGAGCAGTTCTTTATTCGGGAGCTCTTTGGGAGGACAGTATGGCGGACTGAACAGCCCGTATTCATCATACGGCGGTGGTTACTCCAGTCCCTATTCCTCCAGCCGATACGGTTCATCAAGCAATGCGTACGCTAGTCCGTATTCCAGCTCGTACAGCAGCCCGTATTCAAGTTCTGGTTATGGCGGATATGGATCGAGCACGTCGTACGGATCTCCCTATGGCGGCTACAACAGTGGATATGGCAGCGGATACGGCAGTGGATATGGCAGCGGATACGGTGGATATAATACTCCGAGCTTTGGCGTCAGTAACAGAGAAAGGTAAATTGAGACCTGATATGTTTATTTCTTATATTCTTTCTTTCTCTCTCTCTTTTTATTATTATTATTATTATTATTATTATTATTATTATTATTATTATTATTTTGAGAAAGAGAGAGAGAGGCAGCTTAAAATTAATCGGACTAAGGTTTCCCATACATCTTTGCACTTCGGTTTTCGAAATAAATCGGAATACCATACTTGTACTCTAACATTAAAACTACAGCTAAGAAAAACTATTAAAATTTTGATAAAAAATGTTAACACGGGGGAGCTTGGCACTCAGCACTAAGGGGTTAAAGCAGGGGCCTGGTCTGGCAGCGGAGAAATGATACGTTTGTTAGCTCTGAGCGCCTTATATGGCAGCCGGGCTGTATCCCTCCCATTGAGGTGAGAGCGACTATAGAGTGCAACAGGGCCAAAAATGACCAGGATTCTCTGACTTAAATAAATTTCATTAAATAAATAAGTAAATAAATAAATAAATAAATAAAAGGTATATAAATATATTTTTCGGGTTGCAATATTTCAATAAAGATTATTATTATTATATTATTATTATTAAGAAGAAAATGCGCAATTCTGTGATAAACACGTGCAAACTATTTTCCGTGGCTGAACTCAATCTATTTATGAGTATTGCTGATCGATCAAATTCAACATACGGGGATTTCACATATACTATCTAGCAGTAGCACAAATCGAATTCAATATTTTATGGAAAAAAACATAAAGGAAGTGTGTATTGTATCTAAATTATTATTATTATTATTATTTCATCATCATCATCATCATGAACAAATTGCAATTGCAAGAATATCATCGTTATTATTATTTCATCATCTCCATCATCATTATTGTTATAATTATTTAATCTGATAAAAGTAGACAGTAGTTGAAACTAAAATCCCAGGGTTAATACAGAAACTATTGTTCCTTAAAACCCTTTTACACTGGACGGCGTCCTTTCTGCGACCATGAAACTAACATCGCTTAAATTGCAGAATGAATGCTCAATGATCGACCAGTTGTCGGCACTTATTAAGCATTATTTTATTTTTTTTACTCTGAAAAGGGGCATACTACGGAGCGCAGAAAGGATGCCGTCTAGTGTAAAGGGGGCATAAATAAATTAGCGCACTTACTTTTCTATCAACTTTCCTTTGAATCAGTATTTGTTTTCATTTCGTGTATTTCAAAAAGAAAATTAAGAGTTTTCATTACGGAGAGGTGTTTTAATCTGGGACATAAGTATGTACATGTAGTGTACATTCAGAGTGGCAAATGGAGTATTTAGTTTAATGGCAAATATGCAATATTTTGATAACAGATAAAAAGAGAAGTACACATACACAAGATAAACTGAGTTCGAAAAGATGATGTATTTTCTAATCGACGCTTTTATGTTAAAAACGCGGGCATATTTTTTCTTCCGAATATTTCATATAAAATATTAAAAGTTTGTCTAGNCGTACGCCGACAAAGAAATGCAAATGTGATGCATTTTAGTCATTAAAGAATCTATTCTATATTTTCATGATATCTAAAATTGTGAAAGTTTAAATTTCTCTTCTTATAAAGGTATAACGCTGTCAAGGCGAATTCATCACTTTTAGTGAACCTTTTACGCCAATTACCAAAAGAAAGAAAATAAAGGAGTTTACAAAGAGTGGGTTTTAAGTTCAATATGAATCGAGATAAGATGTACTGAAACAGGCGCCATGTTTAGACGTTGGAGATTTTATTAACGATATCAGCTATTGTAACTTTGGAACAAAGAAAAACAACTTTTGTCACAGACAATCTAAATTATCACGTACATCACTACAGACCAACATAAAAATTAATACCACATAATCGTCAACCCGCGAAATATGCAGTGGAACAAAATATCTATTAGAATTACAAATTAGCTTGAGTATATATAGATAAATCAAAGAGAAATTCCACTGATCAACTGAATTCTGGTTTTAAAAGTTATAAATAAAATGCGGTTTGTTACGGGCAGACAGATATGTATCTTTTTTACCCTGAGGCCACGAAAGTGTGCGTCATTTTGTGTACCTTCCTTTGAGGAGACTAGACCGTAGCCGCCGCGGTGGGGTTTTACATTAAAAGGTGGTATTTTCGATTACAACCCGATTTTTGTATAGATAAAAATATGCATCTCTTCTGATTTCTTTTTGATAATGATGACTACTCTGCACTGATGATAAGGCTGATACTTTTTGTTATACGAGAGTAATAAGAATTTTGTGGTCCAAACGTTTTTATACGTGTGATGACTGGTATGTACGTAAAATATAATAGAAATACGATGAAATAATTTTTCAACCACTGCCTTTAAACTGCTGAAGACGGCACTCGTTATTTTATGACAATAACAGAAAAAACAAGATTCATCAGTATCACAACAAAACATTTTACACACACACACACGAAAAAAATGTATAAGAATAATGCACCATCCAAAATACAATGTACAAGGGTATTTTAATTCCTTGCCAAAGAATGTATCGAAAGTTAATCACAAAATGTAAAATCCAGTTTGCGTACTTCGCTTCTCTGGACATTTGTTTACCTCGGCAACCAAGAAATGGTGATATTCCTCTAATTATATAAACTTAAGGATATGGACAAAAGAGGTCGCCACTACCAGGAGTAGTCTTCCTTGTAATCTATGTTATATATTCTGATCTTATATGTACATGTGCGTTGACACGCACGAGGAAATGGGAGGTTTCGTAATCTCAGTATAAGATATAAGACCGTTTATACATATGCCAATGTATATATGATGCAGACATTACTTGGGAAGCATTGAAAGAAAATTCATTTTATAAAGAAAACGATACTGGGTATTATGTTTTTTTTAGCGTTTTTCAAATTTAATATATTTAAACTTAATTCTTTTTAAAACATGAGATATTCTCGTTCTTGTTATTAACTATGTAAAACAATAACGTTGTTTATTTAATTTGTCGCTTTAAATAGAATAAAAAGCATAATTTAAAAACGTAGAAACTAGGCAACTATAATAACTGTTCACCCTATTATCTATATATTTACATTATTTCTTACATTTTTTTATTTCTCTTTCAGTACAAAAAAAGAAAAAAAGATTTTTAAAAAGATGAAACCCAGGACCATCATGTTTTCCGCCAAAGAACTGACAATACTGTTGGTATTATGCCACTGTCCAAGACTCATTTTAAGCACACTGGACACAGGGACATCTCTTTATAGCGGACTTGGCAGCTCTAGCCTATATGCTAGCCCTTACAGCACAAGCGCTTATCAAAGCCCATACGGAAGCGTGAGCAGTTCTTTATTCGGGAGCTCTTTGGGAGGACAGTATGGCGGACTAAACAGCCCGTATTCATCATACGGCGGTGGTTACTCCAGTCCCTATTCCTCCAGCCGATACGGTTCATCAAGCAATGCGTACGCTAGTCCGTATTCCAGCTCGTACAGCAGCCCGTATTCAAGTTCTGGTTATGGCGGATATGGATCGAGCACGTCGTACGGATCTCCCTATGGCGGCTACAACAGTGGATATGGCAGCGGATACGGCAGTGGATATGGCAGCGGATACGGTGGATATAATACTCCGAGCTTTGGCGTCAGTAACAGAGAAAGGTAAATTGAGACCTGATATGTTTATTTCTTATATTCTTTCTCTCTCTCTTTTTATTTTTTAAAATTATTATTATTATTATTATTATTTTGAGAAAGAGAGAGAGAGGCTGGTTAAATAAATCGGACTAAGGTTTCCCATACATCTTTGCACTTCGGTTTTCGAAATAAATCGGAATGCCATACTTGTACTCTAACATTAAAACTACCGCTAAGAAAAATTATTAAAATTTTGATAAAAATGTTAACACGGGGGAGCTTGGCACTCAGCACTAAGGGGTTAAAGCAGAGGTCTGGTTTGGCAGTGGAGAAATGATACGTTTGTTAGCTCTAAGCGTCTTTTATGGCAGCTGGGCTGTATCCTCCCCAGGGAAGTGAGAGCGACTATAGAGTGCAACAGGGCCAAAAATGACCAGGCTTCTCTGATTTAAATAAATTTAATTTAAAAAATAAATAAATAAAAAAGTACATACATATATGTATAACTTCAACCTTCGGGTTGCAATATTTCAATAAATATTATTATTATATTATTATTATTATTAAGAAGAAAATGCGCAATTCTGTGATAAACACGTGCAAACTATTTTTCGTGACTGAACTCAATCTATTTATGAGTATTGCTGATCGATTATATTCGACATACGGGGATTTCACTATATACTATCTAGCAGTAGCACCATCGAAGATTGGTTTACAAAACGAATTCAATATTTTATGCAAAAAATAACACAAGGCTGTGTGTATTCTATCTAAATTATTATTATTTCTATTATTATTATTATTTCATCATCATCATCATGAACAAATTGCAATAGCAAGAATATCATCGTTATTATTATTTCATCATCTCCATCATCATCATCATCATTATTGTTATAATTATTTAATCTGATAAAAGTAGACAGTAATTGAAACTAAAATCCCAGGGTTAATACAGTAACTATTGTTCCTTAAAACCCTTTTACACTGGACGGCGTCCTTTCTGCGACCATGAAACTGACATCGCTTAAATTGCAGAATGAATGCTCAATCTTCGGCCAGTTTTCTTTTCGTGTATTTAAAAAAGAAATAAAGAGTTTTCATAACGGACAGGCGTTTTAATCTGGGACAAATGTACATGTAGTGTATATTCAGAGGGGCAAATGGAGTATTTAGTTTAATGGCAAATATGCAATATTTTGATAACAGATAAAAAGAGAAGTACACATACACAAGATAAACTGATTTCGAAATTGATGATGTATTTTCTAATCGACATTTTTATGTAAAAAACGCGTGCATATTTTTTCTTCAGAATAGTTCATATAAAATAGTAAGTTTGTCTAAAAAACGAAAGTATATTAAATTTTCATTCACCTTTCAGATGCGGCTATCTCCTCATCAGTACCAGTACCCAGGGATGCTGTGAAAACGTTCCCTACGTCCTGAGCCAGGCTGAATGTTGTACAGGCCAAATCCTCCCCCGTGGTCAGTGTCTCGCCGCTCAGGTGGTCTGCGGGGGCATGCTGTACGACCCCCAGTTTAAAGAGTGCTGTGGGAACACCACGGTGGACATCGGTCTTTGCTGCAGCGGAGCCCCCTGCGGTATTTGTAGCGGAGTCAGATTCGACACCACCAGGCGTGAATGCTGCCAAGGTCGACTAGTCGAGTTCGGCTATTGCTGTGACGGATTCCCTTGTTCGTACTGCGGTAACATTAAGTACAATCCGAACCGAGAAGAGTGCTGCGGCAATCAGCTCGTCCCGATAGGTTTTTGCTGCGGCGGACGACCTTGCTCTATTTGCGGCTCCTATCCATACCAGCCCAACGAACAGGAATGCTGCGGTGATACTACTCCTGTTGAGAAAGGTTACTGCTGTAATGGCGTAGAGTGCGCCCTCTGTGGTAGAACCAAGTACGACCCAAGGGCCGGGGAGTGCTGCGGGGGTCAGGTAGTTGACAAAGGCATGTGCTGCGACGGGTACCCGTGTGGTATTTGCGCCGGACAGAAATTCTTCCCTCAGAATGACGAATGCTGTGGAGCTGCCCTCGTCCCGGTTGGCATGTGTTGTGACGGTTACCCCTGCGAAGTCTGCGGTGGTTTCAAGTACAACCCACGCGTGCAAGAATGCTGTAACGGCAAACTTGTTCAGCTCGGTATGTGCTGCGACGGAATCGAATGTTTCGAGTGTGGCCTCGATAAATATAACCCTACTCTTCAAGAGTGCTGCTCCGGTATCATCGTCGAAAAGGGCTTCTGCTGTGACGGAAAACCTTGCTCCAGCTGCGGGCCACTAATGCTTCAGTACAACCCAGACTCGCAAGAGTGCTGCAATGGTACAGTTGTGACCAATCTCGGATTCTGCTGTGACGATCGTCCGTGCCAGGCCTGTGGGTTTGGTCTCTTCAATCCTTTCACCCATGAATGCTGTGGAAACAAGGTCGTGAGAAAAGGCATGTGCTGTGAAGGAGAGGTTCCCTGCAGACTTTGTAACGATCTCAAATACAGCTACCTCGTGCAAGAGTGCTGCGGCCTTGACCTAGTTAATAAAGGTGACTGTTGCCGTGGAGTTACATGCGAAGTGTGCGGTATATATAAATTCAACCCTGTAGAGCAAGAATGCTGTGGCGGGCAAGTTGTAGACAGAGGCGGATGCTGTGACGGAATTCCATGTCAAATGTGCGGGCTGGATAAGTACAACCCGAACATCCAAGAATGTTGCGGTGGAACTCTGGTCGAGAGTGGCTTCTGCTGTAATGGAATCCCGTGCTCAAGCTGTGGTCCGACGAGTCTGCTGTATAACAGAAACACTCACACTTGCTGTGATAACCAGGTGGTCCTGCCTGACATGTGCTGCGATGGTATACCATGTGGACTGTGCAGCTCTGCCAAGTACAATCCAGCCCAGCAAGAATGCTGTTCCAACCAACTCGTACCAAGAGGAATGTGCTGTGAAAACGTCCCCTGTGCATTGTGCGGACAGAATAAGTATCATCCCCAGCGACAGGAATGCTGTGGTCAGACACCAGTTGATCCAGGAATGTGCTGTGAGGGCGGCGTCCCTTGCGGTGTTTGCCTTAGTACCAAGTACAACCCCACCCGTCAAGAGTGCTGTAACAACAGGCTAGTGGAAGCCGGCTTCTGCTGTGATGGTGTCCCATGTGCCCTCTGTGGAGACTTCAAGTTTAACCCCAACACACAGGAATGCTGTGGCGGCCAAGTGGTTGAGACCGGATTCTGCTGCGACGGATTCCCGTGTCAAATCTGTGGTGATGTCCGTTTCCATCCTCAGCGGCATGAATGCTGTGATTTTGCTCTTGTAGAAGTCGGCAACTGCTGCAACGGTTATCCATGTCAGATTTGCGACACCAAGAAATTCAACCCAAGAGAATTTGATTGCTGCAACGGCCTGATTGTGGGTGCTGGAATGTGCTGTGAAGGGATCCCCTGCTCCCTCTGTGGGGTCAACAAATACCACCCACAGAAACAAGAATGTTGCGGAGGAGTTATCCCTGTCCTTCCTGGCATGTGCTGCAATGGCAGGGAGTGTCAAATGTGTAGTGGACTGAAGATCGATCCAAGACTTCACGAATGCTGTAATAACCAGGTCGTAGACGCAGGCATGTGCTGTGGTAATGCGTTGTGTGGACTGTGTGGAAGAGAAAAGTATAACCCTAACCTTCAAGAATGCTGCGGAGGCTCTGTGGTTGAGAAGGGTTACTGCTGCGGTGGAAAACCGTGCGGTATATGTAACGATGCTCTGTTTGATGTCGTGACTGAAGAATGCTGTGGAGGTGCTGTAGTCAAGCAAGGAATGTGCTGTAATGGACAGCCTTGCAAACAGTGCGGCTATGGTTTATTCAACCCCACAACCCATGAATGCTGTGGTACCATGAAAGTAGTGAGAACTGGCATGTGTTGCGATGGTCAACCCTGTGGCCTCTGCGGCTCATACAAGTATAACCCACAAGCCCAGGAGTGCTGTGGAGACCGTCTAGTAGAGAGAGGATACTGTTGCAATGGCTACGTCTGCTCGACATGCGGCGTTTACAAATACAACACAGTGGACCAAGAATGCTGTGGCCAAAACTTAGTGGTTGATAAAGGCATGTGCTGTGATGGCAATGCTTGCTTGATGTGTGGTCTTGACAAATACAACCCTGCAGTCCAGGAATGCTGTGGAGGTGCCCTGATAGAGAAAGGCTATTGCTGTGAAGGAGTTCCATGTGGAATCTGTGTAGACTTGATGTTCAACCCACAAACCCATGAATGCTGCGGTTCTAATATTGTAGAGAAGGGGATGTGCTGTGATGGGTTCCGCTGCTCCATGTGCGGCACCTTCAAGTATCACCCTAAAAAACAGGAGTGCTGCGACAACAAGCTGGTTCCTTTTGGTATGTGCTGTGATGGCTATCCATGCTCTCTGTGTGCCGAGAATAAGTATAATCCTCTTGCTCTCGAGTGTTGTGGATCTCAGCTAACTGGGCGTGGAATGTGCTGCAATGGGCTACCATGCCAGAGATGTGGCGGAATCAAATACCATCCTCTCAAGCAGGACTGTTGTGCAGGAGGTTTGGTCCCATACGGAATGTGCTGTGCGGACAAACTTTGCCAGTTTTGTGGGGAAGCCAAATACAACCCACTCGAACAAGACTGCTGTGGTGGCCAACTTGTCAGGAAAGGACTGTGCTGTGAGGGAGTGCCCTGCTCTGTCTGTGCTGAAAACCAGTTGTACAACCCAGCCAAATTTGACTGCTGTGATGGGCGTCTGGTGAACGCTGGCTTCTGCTGTCACGGCGTGCCTTGCCAGGTGTGTGGTGACAAGCTGTTTAATCCACAGGATCAAGAGTGCTGTGGCACAAGCCTTGTGACCCCAGGACTTTGTTGTGAGGGTACCCCATGTGAGAAATGTGGCGACCAGCTTTTTAGCCCAAAGAAGCAGGAGTGCTGTGCAAACTACCTCGTCCCACTGGGCATGTGCTGTGATAACTACCCCTGCTCATTATGTGGTCCAGAAGACACCAAGTATAACAGACACAAGAAAGAATGCTGTGGAGGAGAGGTGGTCCTATTTGGTGGATGCTGTGAGGGAGTGCCATGTGCAATGTGCAGAGATCTTAAATACAACCCACAAACCCATGGTTGCTGTAGCGGTCAGTTAGTTCAGTATGGTTTCTGCTGCAATGGAGTGCCCTGTGCCATGTGCTATGATGAAAAATTCAATCCACAGACCCATGAGTGCTGTGATAAAATAGTGACCGAGTCAGGCATGTGCTGCGATGGTCTTCCATGTGGTATATGTAACGGCATCAAGTATGACACAGCCAAGCAAGAGTGCTGTGGAGGCCAACTTGTTCGAAAAGGTTTTTGCTGTGATAACGCCCCATGCCAGATGTGTGGAGACCAGAAATTCAGCCCTGTCAAGCAAGAATGCTGCGCCTTTAATCTTGTACCAGTTGGCATGTGCTGCGATGGTTATCCATGCGACATCTGCGTCAATGAAAAGTACAATCCACACAAGAGTGAATGTTGTGGTAATGAGCTTGTTGCCTATGGTATGTGCTGCAGCGGCTTGCCTTGCGCCATGTGTAAAGAGCAGAGGTTCGATCCAAGAGAAAAGGAATGCTGTGGTGACGTCCTTGTAGAGCCAGGCACCTGCTGTGAGGGTGTACCATGTGGTCTTTGTAACAACAGAGTGTATCATCCACTTAAACAAGAATGCTGTGGCAGCACTATTGTAAATAAAGGCTTCTGCTGTGAGGGATTTGTCTGTGGATACTGTGGTGATTACAAATTCAACCCTAACACATACGAATGCTGCGGTAACTCTGTGGTCAAGAAAGGTTTTTGCTGTGATGGCGTTGAATGCCAAATCTGCAGTGGTAAAAAATACCATCCACAGAAGCAAGAATGTTGTGGTGGCACTCTGGTGGAATTTGGCATGTGTTGTGGTGGTGTCTTGTGCCAGACTTGCGGTGAATTTAAATACAACCCTATCAACTATGAATGCTGTTATGGCCGACCAGTTGAAAAAGGTTTCTGCTGTGAGGGTTCACTTTGCGTTGACTGTGGTGGGTTTAAATTCAACCCTTACTTTGAAGAGTGCTGCGAAGGTAACCCAATGAGAATCGGTTTCTGTTGCGGTGGAAACAAGTGCCCGACGTGCGGAAACCAGCCTTTCGATCCAACACGTCACGAGTGCTGTGGGCGCAGAGTCGTTGGACTCGGTCTGTGCTGCGGTGGCGTAGAATGTGTACAGTGTGGCAACAACAAGTATAACCCAGTGAGTCAGGAATGCTGTGGGGGTGCTGTCACGGAGAAAGGCAACTGCTGCAATGGAGCACCATGTCAGATTTGCCGAAACGTGAAATACAACCCCTTGGTGAATGAATGCTGCGGTGGTAATCTTGTCCCAGCAGGTGACTGTTGCAATGGAAGCCCATGCTCAACCTGTGGTATCTCAAGATTCGACCCTACTGTCTCCGAATGTTGTGCCGGCACAGTGGTAGATATAGGCATGTGTTGCAATGGCGTGGTATGCGGTGTGTGCGGTGATGTGAAATTCAACCCCACCGTTCAAGAATGCTGTGGCACATCTTTGGTGCTGCCAGGCAGCTGCTGTGGCGGAGTCGAATGCGGGATATGTGGCTTCTACAAATTCAACCCAGTTCTGGAAGAGTGTTGTGACAACAGGAGAGTGACACCTAAAGGCCTGTGCTGTGGTGGCTTTGAATGTGGTCTTTGCGGTGGTGTGGCCTATCCACCTCAGTCGCAAGAATGCTGCTCTGGCCAAATCGTTGATCTAGGTTTCTGCTGTAATGGCGCACCATGCATCCTGTCTTCTAGCGGATCAGTGATTGGCGAAACTGGCACACCTGGTGGCAACTCCATAGCAACTGAAGCTTCCTGTTTGGGCGTGGCTTATGACAGTGGGACCCAAGAGTGCTGCAATGGCCAGGTGGTTCCAGCCGGTCAGTGCGTCCTGACCCCTCCAGTTCAACCAAACACGGGCAACCAAATCCTACAGAAGTGCGGCGGAGCCAGCTACGATCCTTCTGTGAATGAGTGCTGTGCTGAGGTCTTGGTAGAGAGAGGCATGTGTTGCGATGGTTGGCCGTGCCGACTCTGTGGCACCGTCAAATACAACCCAACTGTTACCGAGTGTTGTGGTGATCTTTTGGTGGACGTCGGTCAGTGTTGTAATGGCCAGGCATGCCAAATAGTCCAAGTTGAACGATGCGGTGCTGATACATATGATCCGACTTCTCAAGAGTGTTGTGGTGGTAGGGTCGTTCCAATGAACTTCTGCTGCGATGGTGCAATCTGCGACACATGCGGAGGACAGAAATACAGTCCCGTGACCCGTGAATGCTGCGGAACCACCATTGTTGAGAAGGGCTTCTGCTGTAGTGGGAACATACCATGTAAGCAGTGTGGCTCCCAGCTGTATGGCCAAGGAAAAGGCTGCTGCGCTGGTGTAATCTTTGACCTAGCCTCGCAGCTCTGCTGTGGAAATGAAGTCACAGACTCCGATACCCATTACTGCTGTGATGGCAAAGTCTGTCACAACGATGGTGACACCCCACCATCTGGCGGCAGCGATCCAACCACCTGTGGTACTTACAACATCAATGTTGCTGTGGAAGGTTGCTGTGGTGATAAACCATACTATAAACGTGATCAAGTCTGCTGTAACAATAACATCCGGTCCAGGTCGACCTGGGAATGCTGCCAGCACCCGTCTGGGTACCAGGTTCCTTTGCCAATGGCAAGTGGTGGCTGCAAGTCGTTAAATTTCCCTGTGGTCCAGCCAGCATGATCAACAGTGGTGAAAGGTGGGTGTGGCTGTTTTTAATATGGTTATTTCAGAAAATTTGGAAATTATATTTGAAGCATGATTTAATTATTCTTTTTTGTATTAGGATACATAATGTTTCTGCAAGTTATTTTTGCAAAGAAATATCACTTTATTAAAAAAAAACTCCTAAAATTCCTTTTTTTCCTATTTTATGATTTACTCTTATGATTGTTTTTTTCTCTCCTCAGGTACGACAGTCTATCACTTGTGGTACGAAGTCTACAAGTCTTAGGGGGAAGTCTAGGATGAAATCCAAAAAGAAGGAAAACTGTCAAAATCTCTACATATGATGACTTAACTAAACATCTGTACTACTGGTGAAAATTTCATTTGATCACTTACTATATCATCTATCTTCCCTTTCTCCCCAATGAAAAAGGTCCTGTATTTTTAGTTGAAATACAAATTAAATCCATTTCATTTCTCCATTCTTTCTGACTTTTGTACTTTTCAGTACAAAAGTCAACTTCATAAGTCCTCATATACTGAGATTTTGGATGTTTTACTACGTGTTTTCGTCATCGTTTTTGCGATGTATCATGCATAAAAGCTTTAATTTCGAGACAGCCTGAGCTGTTTTATCATCTTTTTTCTTTAAGAATTGTATAGTTCTTGCATAACCTCTTACATAACGTTTAACTTATTTCTAGAGCAATTGGAGTGATTTTAATTTGTTTTGTGTACTGACAGTGTAAACTGAAACACTTTGTGACAACTAGATACAAATATTGTTAATTCAAATAGTGTATGTTTTGGATAAAAATTGTGAAAATATTTGCTTGTTACTACAAAACACTATTAAGTAGAATAAAACTGTCGCACAATTGTCCACCAAAAATTAGCTGAAATGATTCACTTCAGAGATCAACATAATTCAATTGATGAGAAGGGAGATTTGAGTCGAATTGATTGAATTTTCCCATTCCCCCTTTTTAGATATGCAAAACAATATTGATTGGTCAATATACTTATTATATGTTATGTACATAAGTAGCGAAGTGTTCATTAGTAACATGGGTGTCAATGTTTTAAGCCACAATAAATATACCAATTATATCAATGTTTTTGTTTTTCCATTCACTGATAAGAAAATATAAATCTAAATTCCTCAAAGCTTTGTCATGAAGAACAAAGGCAAGTACAACACGTCCATTGATGGGATACATGAAACATGCCTCGTGTTTTTGAAATAGTTAATTAAGATATAAATTAAACATAAATTTTTTGGGCCTTTAGTGTGGGGTCCAGAGAGAGAGAGAGAGAGAGAGAGAGAGAGAGAGAGAGAGATAACAAAACAGAGTTTAAATCATTTCAATTCCCCAATTCCCTCTCCTTGTGTTAATGATAAAGTCACAAGAAAAATAATCACACAAGACATTTGCTATTATTTACACAGGACGTATAATTTGGAATGCACTTGCAATGATACAACAGAAAATAGAGTTTGAATCATTTCAGCTTATATCAACTTATAGACTATTGTGTTTAATGACATAGTCACAAGAAATAGTCACACAAGACATTAACTATTATTTACACTTTCATATGGAATGCATTTGCATTAATTGACACAACACAGAGATATGGCTTTGAAATCAAGATTAATTGGTTTTCAACCTAAATGTTAAACTACTGCATTACATAGATCACTGAGCATTTATGCTTAACCCACTCACATGGCAGTGATTAAAATTCCAAATACTTTCTGGGCAATATCAACATGGACTATCTGGTTAACACGCGAGAACAACTTGTTACAATATAGACATACTACACATCCCAAACAGGAGGCAGTATTTTTGACTGAACACATTTATAAACATAAGACATTTTAAAAATAGCAACAAATTATATTGACAAAAAAGTTTGACTGAATACAAGCAAAAATTAGTTCTTTTTTCTGAGTAAAATATTCTGAGCCAATCTATTACAACAGCAACACTGTAAAGGGACAATGCCAATTTTTTTTTCAGTGGTCACTGATCTAAAACAAAACAAAACAAAACAAAAAAAAAAACAATAACAACACAAATATTGCATCAAACTGAATGATCTGTGCCCAACCTTCTACTTCATACCCAAATACATAGTATTAATGCCCTAAATGGATAAACATTTCTTATATCAAGTAGTTTAAGACATGCTACTAAATACTGAACCCCAACCTTTGCTAAATAACTGTGATTTTACCAGAAGTTTACCAAGAATTCATGCTGCAGTAACCATTATGGTCAGTAACTGTTATGGTCATAAGGCTAATTAAAGAAATTCAACTTTTGCATATTTACGTACAGTCTGCCTCATCTGTTAGATTGTCAGGTTTTGAGTTACAAAGACAAAACCAATAAAATATATTATTGTGTAAAAAATATATCAAATATATATGCTTGACAGCAATATGTCTTTACTTTTGTCTGGTGCACTATCTTGGATAGTTTTAGCCATGATTAAACACAAAGACACACACACATGTGCATAAATGTATATATTTAGAATCAATATCAAATCAACCTGACCCATTGGCCATACATTGCGAGCTATGTTATCATCTTTTATGTGAAACTCACACCTTAACACTTGTAAAAGTCATTGGCGTCTTCAATCCTGAGAGTCAAACCCTCCACGTCCACTGTGCCTCTGTGAACTGTAGCCCCATCCGCACCCTAGAAAATATAATATAATATAATATAATATAATATAATATAATATAATATAATATAATATAATATAATATAATATAATATAATATAATATAATATAATATTCTCTCTACTCTACAAATTAACAACAAAATAGACGTCCTAAATGAACATTAAAAAGAGACAATTTATGTATCTTTGGACAACTGAAATATCAGAGAACTGGGAAATGAGACAAAAGATGATATATATATAATACAATATGTAAATCTGCTCTACAAATTGACAACAAAATAGTCCTAAGTGAACATAAAAAACAGAGAATTTGTCTTTGGACAACTGAAAAAAAAAAAGAGAACTGGTATATCCTTCTATTCTTCAAATGAAGGAATATGAAATAGTGTACAGCTTGTTTGACAGTGGTATTATCATACCTGTCCTCTTGGACAGAATAAACAATGAAAAGAAATAATATGGAGTTATTCCCTACATAAAACATAATCAAATCAGTTCCTTTTATCCTATGGGGTAATGGATACAATGTGTTAAGCATTGTTTCAGCTGTCACCACCTCTGGTTACAAATTTATGTAACTCCTCAAGTTCTTGTTTCACAAATAACAAGGTTTTGTAAATAAAAATATTCATAATTCCCTCACAGAGGTTGGTGTAAATGAAACAACATGGTTGAGACAAGCATCAAGGAAAATACATTCTTTTAGTGAAACCTGGTCTGTAACTGCTAGTATTAACATACCTCCACTTTCGCCAATGCTTCCTTCACAACATCAAATGAGTTTGGCTCCTTGGTAAGAATGTACATGAATCCCCCACCGCCAGCCCCTGCTAGTGTTGAGCCATAAGCATAGGGGGCGATAGCGGCCATCATGGCCCTTGTGGTTGCCGAGTCACTTCCAGTCGCCATGCGAACTTTCAAAACCCAGTAGGTGTTTAAACATTCACCAACTTTGGCAAAATCACCTGCAAACAAACAACTTGCTTTGTAAACAGATGGAATAAAATATTGCATGGAAATTGGAGTACAATAATTTTATTATTATTATTTTTTTTTTTTGCAATAAGTCTAGCAACCCTGAAAATTTATAAAATATTCTGGCTTTGAGTTTGGCACTCATCAGACTTATAGTAAGTGTTAGAAAATAATTTAGCATGCCAAAGACTGAATTTACAGAATTTTGTGTTAAAATCCTCCACATGCCAATGTCAATTGGCTCAAAACATTAAAAACTTTTTGAAATTTTAAAAGACTTAAGAAAAACATTACACATTGAAATTCTTTATGCCCTGCTGCTCTGTGTGACAAAAACATTGGTAAATGGTCTCCAGGTCTGAATATGCAAAATATTTTGCAGTCTGAAATTTTTTACCTGCTTCTAAAGCTCTGGCAGACTCCCATGCAATATTCACCAGTTTGTCCTCTGTTTCCACAATATCTGGGTCACGGGCATACCAATTTCTGATGCAATTCTGAAATGAGGAAGGCTATGCAATGTTCTACCTGTATATAACCAAAACAGAGTACAACCAGTTCATTTCCTCAAAATAGAGTAAAACCAGTTTTAGGAAATGATAATCATGATGAAATACAATTCTGCAGTACATTCGATCTAAATGTTCATAAAGAACATAAAATATCCCCCTTTAATTATCCTATGTAATGTGAATAATGATTTCAGACAGGCATTTTGAACTTGTTGCTTCAATAAGAAAGTCCTAATTTTGTGACACTAGGGGAAGGGAGGGTTGACTTCGCAACCCAATTATATCAACTGTTAGAAGAAGTTTTGTTTTTACCTGCAATATATTTCTTGCCAATCTCGTGGTTCCTGTATACACCAGAATGAGCCGCTCGTTCAATGCTTTCATCGTTTCCTTTGACACATTCAATGGAGTGTAGTCCACAAATAAGGGGAGTCCAGCTTTGGAGTGGCCTATCTTGATTCCACCTACAATGCCACCTATCTGATCTTGCCAACCACCTCCTGTTGTCATCAACTGCTCAAGATTCAATACCTGGAAAGAGACAAATTATGATAAAAACTTGAAAATTCCATCCCTTGAAAATTGATTAATATCTTTAAATGCCTGAATCCCACTTGGCCATATTAGGTAACAAACAATTCAAAATTATTGAGAGGCCCATTTTCAAGTTTGATGAAATTTTCAAAGTGAAAAAAATTACTCTGGCGGAGACTTGTCTCTAACAAATTTCTCAAGACTATCTGAATATTCAAGTTTTCACCACTACGCCACGCCCTTGTAAGCTTTTTTTTTTTTTGTGACAGTGATAAATGTAGCAAAATTATACTATTTACAAAGTATCCACATATAACACAGAATCACTATTTTTTAAATTAGAAACACAAAGGCAATCTTATACAAAAAAGTCAACAGGTTTCTATAAATACAACATAATAAATATAAATGTTAATACATACAGCATGCAGCAAGGAGCTGGTATCATAATGTTTCCCTACAGCTTTCCCCAGTGCAGCAATGGCTGCCCCTGCCAGTATACTGCTGGTGCCAAGACCTGGAAAAGAAAAGATGTCTAGGCTGATATTTCTATACAATGTAGGAAATCATTTAAAAGTAGCCCACAACCTTTATCTTATCCCAAATTAAATGGCCAAACCAAACATAATGACTATGTAAAATAGGACTTGAACAAAAAAAGGTCATAACAACACCACTGCACACTACATCCTTTCAGATTCTTCAGTTTTGGTTCTAAATCTAATTAAAAAAATGAAATATTAATCACTTTTCACATTTCGGAGGCTTACAACTATGAGAAAAAAATAATACTTTCTCCCTGTGTGTGTGTGTGTATGTGTGTGCATGCCTGCGTGTGTGTGTGTGTGTGTGTGTGTGTGTACGTGTGCGTGCACATGCATGCACTTGTGCAAGGTACACAGTGATACTTATACTCAACATACCTGATCCCCTTGGCAAATTTGACCAGGTTTCTATTTCAAATCCCCCCTGGTAGCGCTCAGTGAGTTGATCTTCTAGGCTCTGACTTGACATCAAGTCTACTATCTCTGTCATGCACACAACAGCCTTCACCAAGGCAGCTAACAGAGAGAGGGCCAAAGCTTTATGAATATTTTCCATAGTACAGAAATATTAAAAGATATTTTTTAAGAAGGAGAGTTACTTGACACTTTTTTAAAACATTCTCTAATTAAAGATAAATAAATAAATAAATAAATAAATAAATAAATAAATAAATAAACAATTTGGAATTTCTTCAATCATTAAAAAATATCAGCTATAACAATTACAATTACCTGGAGCGTGTGGCTTGTTGTAGTTCTCTAGATCTGACAACTGCTCACAGCACACCCTGGTGGTAGTCCCGCCCTCCCCGCCAATCACTGAGATGATGACAGGACTGAAGAAATACACCAATCAGAAGGGATTTTACGTTGACTGACAGATAACTTGAGACTGAGTATGTGGCAAGAAAAAGACTTATTGGGTTTTTGTAAACTTTTATAGATTTCTAACTGGAAAACTGTTGCCTTACTTCCATCAGTTGTAAGTGTTAAAACTCATATAATGTATGCTTACACAGGAATTCTTCTAACTTTCACTCCAATTGGCTTCTGAAAAAATAAAAAAAAACCCTAGTTAAAACATGTATTAAAATAAATAGTACAGTTAGGTATTACAACATGACACTACTTCACAAATGCAATAAAAACATTGCAGTACTGGAAAAGCATTCATAATGCAGACCTGCATTAAAGACCTTATTTGTAAGGAAGTATAAACAACTGACATCGTATGTGCTTTGAAAGACTTTCAAGAAATATATTATCACATAAAAACTACAAAACTGAACAATAAAAGTATTTTTGGCTTTTGAAGGAAACTTTGTGTGTAATAGATTAAACCTCACAAGGAGGTAAAAACATTACAGATTTTACTCTGCTCTTTTAAAACCTCTTGTAATTTCTAGGCTTCTGATTAGTCGACTAGCATGGCCTTTTTACTAACATTTTCTCATTATTTGATCAATTGCCGGGGGGGGGGGGGTTCAAATGAATTATATATTTGGCCAAGAAAAAGTCCTTTTTGAATCAAAACGTGATATAGGTTCTATGCTATTAAAGCAGAAGGGACCAGTTTTTTTTTTTTTTTTTTTTTTTTTACAAAAAATACCCCCCCCCCCCCTTTGATATAGCTGACTACAAGCCTGGCTTACATATTCTATACTTGTTAAAGAATACACAACAAAAAGCTTGCCTTGCCATCCACCAGTAGTGCTAAGTCCACTACAGCACCTCCATGCTCATATGTGATTGGTGGAGTGTCGGACCAACCCCCAGCAAAGTCAGCCCTGGCAGGCGCCTCGGCAATGACCCACTTGTTCATGGGAATGGGCTCCGTAGGGGTGATAGTGATGAACTAAATTTAAAAAAAAAAAAAGTGAAAGATGGTATCAAATGGCAACTTCTATTTCAGATGTTATTTCTTAAATTGACCCAAGAAATCGAAACCAATCATGGTTTACTCTGTCTTTAACAGATCCATATACCAAACAATTATGTTAACTTCTATTTCAGATGTTATTTCTTACATTGACCCAAGAAATCGAAACCAATCATGGTTTGCTGTGTCTTTAACAGATCCATATACCAAACAATTATGTTAACTTTTCTGTGATCCAATATTTATCTCCTACTTCAACATTTAAGTGCTGGATTTTAACTTGTAAACAGTTTTTCAAAAGATGGCATAACCTGCTTGGGCTTCATGCTACATTTCCTTCTTCATGTAGAGCCAAGCACCATTCCAAAAGACAAAAAACTTTAAAACTCTCAACAAAATATTTTCTGTAAGGAAGTGCTCAAGAAAATAGCTGCCTTAGACAGCAAGTTCCATACATTCTGTACAGTCTGGACGGCTTTTCTAATCAGGATGTGAGCAGCACCCTCGTAGTGTCTTGCTGCTCTGATCAGGTGTTCAGGTCTGTCCAGCCACTTCTGTCTTTCCTCCGCCATGGCTCTCACCCCCTCACGGATACTCTCCTCAGTGGCTTGCTGGAACATGAAACACCATAAGGTTTACGATTATGTGTGATGAATTTTAAATAGCTCCTAAATTTCGAACAATTTTAGAATCGGCTATCTGTAGTTTTTTTAAGGACCGTGAATTTCGACCAGTAAGCAATTTTGCACGATCTTGATTTTAGTGAATTTCGTACAGCTTAAAAATTGGCCATCGGGCTATTTTTGGACTCATAAAAATCTAACAGACTGACATAGGGCCTAGTGATGAACAGACAACTTCTGGTCAAAAAATGACAGAATTTCATAAAATTTCTGAGCACCTCCCATTTCATGAAAATGATCTTTTCCTTATTTTAATTAATTTCTTCTGTATGCAATTCATGGCACATTACTGTAGACCGACTTCAGCATACTTGTATGTCACTCGTTCCCTTTGTATTGAAAGGATGATTTCAAGGCACACAGTATGTGTTTCTATAGCAAAAAGATTTTCTGGAAATTTCAGCAATTTTTCCTTAGTAACAAAAGTATTTTGTCTACACAATTTTTTCATAAAATTGTAATTTATATTCTTGTTTTTCCAGTTGTAAAGTTCTATTTTCTAAAACTGTTATGAATAAAATTTAGGCACAAAAATTTGTGATCAAAAGCAGATCACAAGACCATAATTTTGTTAACAGTTTTTGACTTGTTGTACTGTGGAGATAAAAAGCTAGGTATTGAAATTTCCAGAAAAATTGACATTTGCTCTATAAAAGTTGGACCTTCTTCGTGTGCCTTAAAGTAGTTTCCATACAAAAATAACGACAACAAAAACAATAATAATAAAAATAACAGATGTAAAGCCGTCTTGAGATGAAAAAAAATGAACAACGGCTTCCAGCCTACAGATGAAAATTCTTCTTACTTTTATGAATTATTGATTCAAAGCATGTTAATAAATACATTTTATAAGATGTTATATAATATCACACACTAGATATGCATATATACACCACACTATATTACACTACATTATATTACATCATATTATCAAAATACATCAAATAAAATTGAAACAATAGCTTTTATTAATAAGCTATTGAAAAGCAATCCAATAGCCCAATAATATTTTCTTTTTTTAAATAAGGTCATTGCTCAATCATTTCAACTAGGAAAAGTGTGCATTTTACAGGTATTGTGTTTTTTTCTAAGTAATAAATTCTGGAAATTAGATCACCACCTCTGAGTGGTAGCAACGCATTTGAAAAGCAGACCAGCTAACAGTTCTATTTTAATCAGTAAAAGCACCAAAATGCCACAAAGAAATTTTTAATAATTACAAAATTATGTATTTGCAAAATTGATATTTTTTGCCTGTTGAAATGATCGAGCCATTTCTGAAGTCTAGTTGCCAACCTCTAGTAATTTGTATGCCTTGCTCCAAGCTTTATTAGCAGCAGGACCACTCCTCATCCCCCCTCTCTTGTTAGCCATAAACCCCAAGACATCTGCCACCTGAGCCAGAGTTCTTGCAGCCAGTCCGGGGTCACTAGTGCTACACGCAACTACATATATACAAATCATATGATTTATTACTAGATGTATGTTGTTTTTTTTTAGTATAAATCACACAAATTAAAATTATATACTATATACATAAGTTATATATTATAAATAACATATAAATTATATAATCTATCATGGAAATGTTAGATGGTTCTTGTTCTGTTGCAAGTGTTCAAAGTGTGAGTATGATCTTATTGTATTTTTTTTCTGTAGCAAATAATGAAACACTTATGAGAAAAATAGTCAAGTTTGTATGTATGTATTTAGGCAATGTGTGCGTGCATGTGTGTGTGTGTGTGTGTGTGTGAGAGAGAGAGAGAGAGAGAGAGAGAGAGAGAGAGAGAGAGAGAGAGAGAGAGAGAGAGAGAGAGAGAGAGACGTACACTTGTCCAGTGTCTCCAGTATCTCCTGATGATGACCGTCCACTGCTGCACTATTGAACAGATTGAGGAGGGCAGAGGTGCGGTCACTGTGGCCTTGCAGGACATCCCAAATCTGCTGGCAGCCAATGCGGTAGAAAAGGTCCCTGGAAAAAACATCATGTTTCAGACTTGTCAGTTTTAAAGCTTAACCTCATTTTTCAAAAGTAAAATCACTGCTCCATTGTAATTATATTGATATATGATGTTTAGAAACCTGTAAGACCTCTCAATGAACATGTCTACTATGATGATGGTGATGACTATACATACATTTTTTATGGTGTGAACACTGTTGACTGACACAGATATTATCTAACATCTAATATCTATCTTCTTGTTGTCAAACAAAATATCTGCTCTTAAAGGTCAGTGACTGCTTATAAACTTTTGTCATAAGTTAGCATTGTCTATTGCATTCTTGAATAACTCATTGTTTTAGTCAATTAAATCTTGTGCTGTCCTCTTTTAGAAAAATCTAGCTGATAGTGTAATATGCATATTTCAACACAAGAAGGTTGTGTCCACAGACATTTAAACCTATTTTTTTTTTTTAATTATCCAACGCCCAATTAAGTGCACTGTCAAGGTCCTGACTTCTACGAGGAGACATTTTGTATCACAGTTACACTCTAGGTCAAGGTCTAGGTCATGGTGAAGGTAATTGTCAAGGTCACTCACTCTCTTTTCTTCAGCTCCAGAGCTAGGTCCACACATTTCAGTATTTCCTCTAGAGACAGACGCCAGGATGCTCTCCATCTGCAGAGTTAAATATAAAAAATTGTCAAACTACAACTTACATTAACAGAACAGAGCCTACGTTTTTAATCCATTGAATAAAATGTTCATGAAATACATCCAACTCTTGCTCAATCATTTAAAAAAAAACAGGTAATGACTAACAGAATTTTTTATAAACTCACTTGGGAGTTAACAAAGAAAGAAGTAAAAATAGTTTTACAGGTAGACAATAATATCCAGGAAATACTGGCAGTAATAAATAAATAAATAAATAAATAAATAAATAAATCCACATATATAACTACTTTAAGCATGTCATCATTATATATACAGTGCACATACTTATCCAACAAGTTATCTTTCTTGTCCATGCCCATCAGCCACGTGATATCCTTCAAGTTGATAGGCTGCCTGATGTGTAGAACAGGAAATAACTTCGCATTAAACAGGGATTTTTCATTGTCACTCTGGAAGAAAAAACAACAACTGTGATATATCATTATTATATGAAGAATGACACAGGTAAATTATGGGCTTGAGTTATATTAAAGAAATAAACTGTAAACATTTCATTGGAGTCTTCAAATTGGATGAATCCAACATTTGTAATTTTATTAATTAATAGTATTATTTATATTATATTAATCAAGACTAAGTGTTACAGTATACAGGATGTGCATACTTTCTCAGCTGGCCAAAGGTCATGCTTGGTCACTCCTGATGAACGCAGAAACTCGTACCACGGCCGGTTACAGAAAGTACTCTTTTCTTGCCATATTGGTATCTAAAAGACAATAAAAGCAAAATAAAGACAAAATAGTTTTAGGCATGTCATTAGGTACAGAAATACCATAAAATATGCCTTATCAAGGTTGCATTCTGTCGAGGTCACATCCAATACTAAGGATATGGGTCATGTATGGGTCACATTGGTTAAATTGTGTCTAGGTCACATACAATACCAAAATTATGTCACTTACAAATCTTCTGTATAAATTTTCTTTATGCAAAAATCCTAAAAACCGAAGATTGAGTCTTGGCAACAAACTTACTTTCAAGATGTCATGTACCCCAAACACAACAAGAACATATTGTCTGTTCTCATCTTTCCCCATAGAAAGCTTGATATGAAATCCTTGAAGAACAATATCATCAGGAATGCTGAACTGGTTTTTCTGAAACCAAAGTTTGGGAACCTGTTTACCACACAATTTCAATAATTTCTTGCCTCTTAAAAGGATGAAATAATTTACCAATGTTCTGCTACAATAAAAAATGTTGACAAGAATAATCACGCTTTACAAACAAAATCTAAACTTTATTTAAGTATTTTATCAGTTACAAACAATGCCAGATTGTGCCATGTGTGCAAGCTGCCCCAGTTAATTGCAACCACCTAAACTGGAAAGATTATGGTAACGACTCGATCTTTTCAATGGACAAAAATGATCAAACTTTCAGATACGTTATTTTAAAATCATAAAAATTATAATTTTGTAGCATGTGTGGAGCTTTTAATGCATAGAATAGAATTATAAGGTAGTTTGCTTTTCAATTTTGTTGTAACCACTCAGTATAAATACTCTTATTTTAAGAAATTATGACTTAAAAATACAGTATCTGTAAAATTCACAATTTTCCCCATTGAAAAGATCGAGTCATTACCGTATATTAATTCTTTCTCTCTGCCCGTGCCAAAATCTTGACCTTTGACTACTAAATATGGCATGGACTTATCTCAAACATCTCTTTATCTCCCTCTCTCTATCCCAACCTGAGTCAAATTAACTCCTTTTAACACCACAGTGGATTTCCATTTTGAACTGGTTTTAGTTTAAAATCAGTCAGTGTGTGGTCCCAGTCTCACCTTGAACTCCTCTGGTGTCAGTGCCACATTGTTGAGCACGCAGCCCTTGCCAACTGTAATGTGACCTTTGAGGTCACAGTGTGAGATGGTTGTCCTTGCAGCCACAGTAATGTGACCTTCAATCATAGAATTTAGAACAACACAGCTGCCATCTATTGTTGCATCTTTCTAGATTACAAAAAAGGGAAATAATAGCATTAATAGGCTATAAATAAACTGTGTGGTTATTCAAAATAAAATGGAAGATGTATTATATGAATCAGAGGCAGTACTCTTATTATCAGCACCATATAAAAATTCTCTACTCTTAATTTCTTTTCAGTAATGAGACTTCTTAATGCAAAGTTTTACCAAATAATGTTGTTATTACAACATTTATATGGAATTGTATACTGTTCTTTTTTTCAAAGTCTAGTTCTGTAGGTCTTGTTAAATAACTTACAGTTATGTGAGAATGTGCCATGTTTTGCCACATGACATTGCTATTACAACTGGCCAGAGTCTTAAGGGGGCACTCCAGGACATGTCTGCGATGTTGCTCCCCAGTTCTGGCCAGATATTCAAAACCTCCATCTTCTATCAAAACTAAAAAAAATAGAATTAAGTTAAGAAAAAATGCACTAAATGTATATGGAAAGGAGTTCTTATAGGTCTAGCAAGGAGTTCCTAGTCTAGTATGGAGTTCCTATTTTAGCAAGGAGCTCCTTGTCTAGCAAGAAGTTCATAATCTAGTCTGGTACTGTAAAATCAATACGATGAAAATCGAACAGAAACAGTGTATACTACTTCAAATCTATCATACTTGTTAAAGTTAAATGCATTTCATGATTGTCATCAAGTGTTTTATTTATTCTTCAGCTTAATTTTTCACTATATTTCACTAAAATTCTTCACTAGATACTTAGCGTCAATAATCCTTAGTTGCTGCATAACAAACAAGTTTGGACATAAATAAATTTTGCTATTGAACAACCAAAAGACAAAAATAATTCTAAAAATGCATAAATATTTTCGGTCCTGTCAAATTATTTTTCTGGTTTCACCCATTAACCTGCTTTTAGCTTCAGTCCTGATAGATTTCGCCACAGTAATCTTCTTGCTCGCTTGTAGACATCCGTCTCACTGGTTGCCATGGAAACAGGCGTGTCTTTTTTGCCTTCCACATTATCCACGTACTGCTGTTCAGTTATGGCACTGCACATGGGCAACAGGAAGTCATAGAAGAGGGACAGCTTAAAAAAATATCAGAAAAATATTTATATATATATTTATTTCAAAACCAATACATGAAAATTTCAGCAAGGGGCTATATTGTATAACATTTATTTTTGATATTTTTGTACATTGTAATTTAATAATTTAATACGTTATATTATATCTTAACATAGAATAAAGTGAGGTACTAAATACTTAATGAAATACGTCATTAAACAACAACAAAAACCAAAAGCTCAGGTACAAAGATGTGATGGAATCCAAGTAGGTTAGAACTGATGACTTTGATGCAAAAGGTCAGATTTCCACTATCTTGTGTGAACACTGCCTTAGCATTATGCTCCCTCTGGTATCTTCAAAGTATTATTTGCATGAGCCTGTAATGGGCAGCTTTTTATCCACACTGTCTAACCCTCATCTACTAAGGACGTGATTTGGATGTTTATGATACCAAATAAAATAACAACAGTTACTGTTAATTGTTTAGATTATGCAAAGGTTTGTTTTATGACACACAAAAATAACAATCTCTTTATTGTGAGGTTTGTCATAACACAAATTGTTCAGGCTTTAAGCTGGATGAGTTTGAGGGGAGGGGGGAGGAATTGGCTAGCAAAGTTCCGCTCTGAATCAGAATTGGAACTACATTTTATCCTGATTATCAAGTTGGGACCACATAAGGAGGTAAAAAAGACTACAGTATCAGCTCAAGAACCCACCTCCTTTGAAATTGCTGGCCACAGCCCTGACAAAGAACAGTGATAAAAAGTTCATAGCCTTGTATTCGCTTAACAAAATACCAGGCCTGCTGCAAATTCGCAGCAAATTTGCAGCAGTTTTGCTGCAATATTGCTGCAAACTGCAATTTCTTCTTACAAGTTTTCACCAAATTTGCTTCAAAATGGCTGCAAATGAGCAGCAATAAAAATTTTTCTTACAAACTCGTTACTGCAAACTTTTAGTATTGCTGCAATATTGCTGCAAACTTTTCAGTTTGCTAAGGGTTACCTCCAATGGTTTGGCTCCTGAGTCGAGTCCCATGTATGTGCAGGCATCCAGTGGAGGGAGATAGTGGAACTGGGACAGTTTCTCGGCCACTTTGGGACTCAGGTACATGACCCCCACAGCCTGTATACAGGAGACAACAAACTTAAAAAATATCCTGCCCAACACTTGACATTTCATCACTATTAATCTAATAAGCTTGATGATATTTGTCACCAATTATTTGTCACCAATTAACTGATGCTTTGGCTGATACATTTGATTTTTATAAAGGTTCATAGGCATAAGCCTATTCCAAATTAAAATAATTATTCATGTGAAAGTATGAGAAAGTGTGAGAAAGAAATATATTGCAGTTTCATTTTTGATACTGTTGATGAATTACAATTAAATAAAGTTAAAACTGTACAATTGTGTGTGTGTGTGTGAGTGCATCTGTTGAGTTAGATGTGCATGCATGCATCCGTACTATGGGCACTTTGCCGTTGTTATTGGCGCATTTTGCTATTTCTTCTGTGCTGCCTCTGAATATAATCTCTTCCACAGAACCCTGAAAATATTCAATTTTAAATGTGGTAGAAAAAACAACAAAAAAAACAGGAGTTCAGATTATTTCAATAATGAAACAGTTTTAAGACTTAAGCATTAAAATATCCAATGGAAATTGAAAAATCAAAAATTATAAATGCATCTACTTAAATCCATTCTTTTAGCAGAATACCTGACTTCTATTTCAAAAAAATAAGCATGAATGTGCAAACAAGCCAGTAACAAATCTTCACATGCAAGTGTATATAAAATCATGTATTCTGACACTGTTAAGCAGGCCTGCAAGTTGTACTTCATGTACTGTCATTCGCATACATAGCATTTGACCAAAAACAGCAATAAACTTCATCATATAGTTCAATGTACCCTCATGTACCATGAGGTGCAGATACAATGTGCCTCGGCTTCTGCATAACTTAATTTTATAGTCTCCATATGTGAGTTAGCTATAAGCTGGCATATGCAGAAAAATTAAACATAAGGAAGCTGATACACTTTGGATATAAAAATTAGCTGAAATGTTCTACAATGTCTAGAGCTCTTCAGATACCATACACACATTATTTTCATTAAAGTTAACCAAAACAAGGAGCCTAATCTGTGACTATCCACACTGATTTACTATCTGCTTGTCAGGTTTTTGCCAACTGGTGTTTGGGATAAAGCCTATAGCAAACTGGAATTGTGAAATAAAGCTTCCTGAGGCACGCTGTCCTAAAGGGCACACTATTTGTTTAATTATTTATTCATTTTTTCTCAAATATATTTGCTTGAATGATAATAAACTTGTCCAAACAATGATGTGGTTTAAGTGACACCCACTAGGTGTCACCTCATTCTGCACACTCTGTTTCTTGTCCAATGCATTTTTGTAATGTTAAGTTTTTTATTTCGTGGTGAATATAAGGAAATTTGTGAATCTGTTCAGAGTTGTATATAAATCGAAAAAAAAAGTCAAATAAATATTAATAAATGTTAAACTATCTCTAGCATTGGAAGGTCTGGCTCAAGTACTCAAGGTATTTTGAGATTTAAGTGAGGCTAGTGATGCCATTAACTACAAATGATATTAAATTTTTAAATTTTTGTTAAAACAAGACAATGTTATCTGTGCCATGATAGCTACCTACAATCAACATGCAAACAAACCAACAACAACAACTACTAAAAAAACCCTAGGTTTTTTATTCACTAAGAAATTATTGAACCATGCAAATAATGCTGATCAGAAGACACTCATCATATCAATGCTAAGCTACTTGTATATAATTAGTGTCAATAGAGTATAGATACATTGCACCAATTGCAATTCTTCAACTGTTATAGGGTACAGAGGTAAGGCTTTGAAGTTTCAATATTTGGCAAGATTTCGACATTTGGGTGGTCTAATAAACAGTGAGTACAGCTGTGAACATGGTTTTCTGCTTCGTTTTGGGGTGTAGTCACCAGAGTAGCAAGGAAGTGTTTGTTTTTTCTGTTCCCTGTGGATAAGCTCAAACATGGCAAATGGGAAAGACTGTTGCAACAAGTTTTGACAATCATAATACAAACTTGCAAACAAGATGGCGAGATTCCCTGGAAATGGGTACATTGTGCAATAACATCGCAATATTTGCTCTATTATTGCACACCTGCAAATGATGCTTTGCTGCGCTGTCTGAAGTAATGGACCTGGTAATAAACCATTACAACATTGCTATAACTGACACAGTGACTTTACACTCTACTGAACCAGAAGTAAATTATAAAGCAGTGCACCTTCCACAAAGAGCTTTCACAGAGGAGATCTAGTGTGCAATATGAGCCAAATGTCATATATATATCATGGACGTACATATAGATTTTTCCAGAGGGCCCAATCTACAAACAGATTGCATACTGGTGTGCTCATGCAGTGACATATCAAAATGCATTCATATCTATAGTATGCCTCTGGCAAGATACAAACCTAAAAAGTGCTTAATATACAATATAAAATATTATAATATCAAAACCAAAGGCTACCTAATTTTTTCTAAGTGGCAAACTGTCATTTTGCAATGACATCAAAAAATATCATTTTATGACGTTTGTGATTTAGAATTATTTGCTACCTCATGCTTTTTATACCTGTGTTATTCCCTTACTACCCCTTAGGATCTACAATCATAAATAATGAAATCAAAATTCTGTTTAATTTTTAATTCAGATCAAATTTTAATTTCTATCAATGTTTTGTCTCATAAAATGAGACTACTTTTTATATTTATTATCTTGATTACATGTTGCAAATGCATAGTCTTTATGTAATACATAAATTTAACCAAATACAAATCAAATTCTTNTATTTATTCATTTTTTCTCAAATATATTTGCTTGAATGATAATAAACTTGTCCAAACAATGATGTGGTTTAAGTGACACCCACTAGGTGTCACCTCATTCTGCACACTCTGTTTCTTGTCCAATGCATTTTTGTAATGTTAAGTTTTTTATTTCGTGGTGAATATAAGGAAATTTGTGAATCTGTTCAGAGTTGTATATAAATCGAAAAAAAAAGTCAAATAAATATTAATAAATGTTAAACTATCTCTAGCATTGGAAGGTCTGGCTCAAGTACTCAAGGTATTTTGAGATTTAAGTGAGGCTAGTGATGCCATTAACTACAAATGATATTAAATTTTTAAATTTTTGTTAAAACAAGACAATGTTATCTGTGCCATGATAGCTACCTACAATCAACATGCAAACAAACCAACAACAACAACTACTAAAAAAACCCTAGGTTTTTTATTCACTAAGAAATTATTGAACCATGCAAATAATGCTGATCAGAAGACACTCATCATATCAATGCTAAGCTACTTGTATATAATTAGTGTCAATAGAGTATAGATACATTGCACCAATTGCAATTCTTCAACTGTTATAGGGTACAGAGGTAAGGCTTTGAAGTTTCAATATTTGGCAAGATTTCGACATTTGGGTGGTCTAATAAACAGTGAGTACAGCTGTGAACATGGTTTTCTGCTTCGTTTTGGGGTGTAGTCACCAGAGTAGCAAGGAAGTGTTTGTTTTTTCTGTTCCCTGTGGATAAGCTCAAACATGGCAAATGGGAAAGACTGTTGCAACAAGTTTTGACAATCATAATACAAACTTGCAAACAAGATGGCGAGATTCCCTGGAAATGGGTACATTGTGCAATAACATCGCAATATTTGCTCTATTATTGCACACCTGCAAATGATGCTTTGCTGCGCTGTCTGAAGTAATGGACCTGGTAATAAACCATTACAACATTGCTATAACTGACACAGTGACTTTACACTCTACTGAACCAGAAGTAAATTATAAAGCAGTGCACCTTCCACAAAGAGCTTTCACAGAGGAGATCTAGTGTGCAATATGAGCCAAATGTCATATATATATCATGGACGTACATATAGATTTTTCCAGAGGGCCCAATCTACAAACAGATTGCATACTGGTGTGCTCATGCAGTGACATATCAAAATGCATTCATATCTATAGTATGCCTCTGGCAAGATACAAACCTAAAAAGTGCTTAATATACAATATAAAATATTATAATATCAAAACCAAAGGCTACCTAATTTTTTCTAAGTGGCAAACTGTCATTTTGCAATGACATCAAAAAATATCATTTTATGACGTTTGTGATTTAGAATTATTTGCTACCTCATGCTTTTTATACCTGTGTTATTCCCTTACTACCCCTTAGGATCTACAATCATAAATAATGAAATCAAAATTCTGTTTAATTTTTAATTCAGATCAAATTTTAATTTCTATCAATGTTTTGTCTCATAAAATGAGACTACTTTTTATATTTATTATCTTGATTACATGTTGCAAATGCATAGTCTTTATGTAATACATAAATTTAACCAAATACAAATCAAATTCTTAACTTGAATTCCATTATCATTTAAGAATCACTGTAACAACATGAGCCATTATGTGACACACAAACCATGGGCAATACACAGACCTGGAGATCACATGATCTGGACCTTGAGATCACATGACCTGGACCTTGAGATCACATGACCTAGACCTTGAGATCCCATGACCTGTACCCTAAGATCACATGATCTGACTTGTTTTTACAGCATGCATATTCTTACCTCTGGTCCCATTTTGTACACACCATGTGCCTTGGCGTACTCGGGATCACCAGGCACAGAGATGGCCATTATATCACAGTTGGACAGGGGAACTAAAAAAACAACCAAATGATGCCAATAAATATCCAGTGCTGCATAATGCTGGGAAAGTATAATTTTATTTAAAAGAAAATACTAGTAATATTGTAACAGTTTAAAAAGAGATAAAAGGGCATTAAAATATTATATATATGTAATTATTAATGAAGTTATAAAACTACCTAAAATTTGACAGCGCCTAGCTTGTAAAACTCTAAGTTGATGTCTCAGTTTAAAATTTGGTGATATAAATCTCTAATGGTTAAAATGGGTCTTGGAGAAGGTCATGTAGCCAAAACTTGGCTTGTTTTTAGTAAAATAAAACCTTAGAAATGTCCTTCCATGTATGTAATGACAGCAATGATCAGTGCATCAAAATAAGTCTAAGTGTAATATTTCAGCCATTTCAGTATAACCAGAGAGGTGCGTTGTGTTATTTCTTTCTTTTCTTGGACTACCTGTATAAAATGATCTGTAGACCATGAAGGCCTCTGATAATTATATAGCCTTTGGATGCCCTAGCTTTTAAATTGTACATGTACACTATACTTGATGTGTAGTTCATGCCAGGAGATCATATGATATGTCTGGGTGGCAGTGACTTCAATACACATACTGTGGTCATTTTTGTTTGGAAAGCAGTTCTATAGGGGGTGGTTTAGCTTCTTATATTGTTATTTAGCTCCAAAATGTTTTCAAGTTCTTTTAAGGCACACACACACACACACACACACACACACACACACAGCACTTCAATGGATGATATGATCTGTCCAACTAAATTTTTTTTGGCAAATGTTACTTCACAGTGTACTGGTGCAGATGGGGTGTGTAACAGAAAACTTAGTAAAAGCTTGGAATAGATGCTGGTGTTCTTTCAAAATAATATTCTATCGAGTTTTGAGGTAAATAATGTACTATCCATGTATTTCAACTTGGTAATTGTGATCATGAAAACCATTATAGCCTTTGGAAAAAAAAAAAAGAGCCACAATAGGAAAAACACCAATATGTACAGCACATTAAAATATCTTACACGCTTTAAGGACAAGTAAAAAAATTCATAACTGAATGCCTCTGGTGCTGGCAGCTTTCATGTTTGCATTTACTACTGTGGGAAGTCATAAAGAGCACATACAGAACAGAGGACTGCGGATCTCTGCAGGGAATCTATTCAGTGTCTAATCAGGAATTAAGCAGCATATTTGATCTGCTGTTCTGTTAGTCCGTGGCTCTGAATGCGCTCAATGATAGTGTTTATTTTACCTTGTTTAAAAGGCTGGTCTGATACTGTGATGAACATGTCTGTACTGCATACCCATACTCCTGGCGGGGTATTGGGCGCAAGCTGAATGGAGATATAAAAAAACTAACATTAAATGTATACATACCACTGATATAATACTTTACTGTTTATCTTGACACTGAGGATTGGAGAATCTTAGCCGTAGTGGAAGAATACTTGGCAAAAGTGCCCAAGGCCAACAACGAAAGACCTTCCTTGATAATTTTGAATTTCCAACTAGACAGCTTTGGTTTATGGCGAAAAAACACAAACCTTTGGCAAAATATTGTCAAACACTGCATCGGTTATGGCACATGAAGAAGAAGATATAATATCACTGATTCAACAAGAGTGCATTAAATTTTCTCTATACTAACAATTATCCCTATGGCAAAAACTAAAAGAATGAACACCATAGATGTAATACCACTGATTCAACAATTTGCCATGGATAGGCATGCATTTTCTTAAAAAATATTTCTATACTAACAATTATCCCGTATTGCTTATGCCAAATGAAAATTGAGGATTGGCTTGCATGTATCACACAAGAGAGAATCAACTCATTACATAAAAGTTTGATTCTGATGGCAGGCAATATAGCCTAACTGAACAGCTGGTATATTCACAGATATACGTAATACTATATAAAAGATGAATACAGACAGGCAAAGAACTGAATATAGGCAGGTAAAAACACCATGATGAAAGGTTATAAAGTTTAAACAAAATTTTCCTCCAAAGTTTCAGCAAAGACATGGACAAACACAGCTGCTACTTACAAGCCAGCCGAAGCTGACAAATGTACAGACAACCTATCTCAGCTATAATATTAATAAAAAACCTAATACACTGAACAGTCACAGTTCTAATAAACCCCTGTATATAACAGTTAGAAAATTGAAGGAAAAGAGATTCTTGAAAGTTTGGTACTGGAGTTGCAATGTACTAAAATTATGTAAAATGACACTATTAGAAAAGTGTCTGCAGTTTGGAAGATACAGTGTCCACAAATTCATAATTATGGAAAAATAAACATTGTTGAACTTTGTGGAATAATGATATCATGCCCAATTCTAATTTGGCAAGGAGAGCTGCACTTTAAAAATGTTGACAGTTCTTCAGTAGAAAAGTTAAAACTAAAATTTAGGAATTTGTGACATTTGTTCAACATTTGCTTTTTTGGGATCATTAATTCTGTACAGCTACCTACCTGATTTGTGACAGTGTCTAAAATGAAGTCAAAATTGCATAGCAGGGAATCATACTTGGATGACTTGTAGGACACTGGCAGTGTAGTAAATGCTTTACCACAAGCATCAAATGGAAAATCACGCCCCTTTAAAAGATATTGGCATTATATGAATAATATCAGATTATTCTTACTAACTTTTTAGCCTAAAGAATTCAAATAAATGAATTTATTTACAATTATGAGGTTGTCTTTTTCTTTGTGGAATTCTTTTTTAAAAAATCCAATTGCAATCCAGAAAAATTTTATAAATAATCTTAAAGTACAGGTTTGAAAGAATTTTTCACTTAAACATATTAGCATCATTCAATCACAAATAAATAAATAAATTGACAAGTATGAGTGAAAATTAGACACTTACCAAATGCATGATAAGAATATGTACATTTTGTAACACATCGCTGTTAATAACCTGCAAGAATAATTAGTTAACATTTATGAAATTAATTTAAAGTGCAAATCTTAATGGATACCAGCAGACAATTTCAAAATCTTATTGACAGATCAGCCAAACGGAATTTTTTTAAAAGAAAAATTAACAATTCTAAGCAACCAAATAATCACACCTGGCTAGCCATTTTAAATTTAAGCCAATAAAATTGTTTATTTAATATTAGAACAAACTCAAGTTAATTAAAAAAAAAAACAACAAAAACTCTAGACAGATTTTCCAGTCAACCAACATGAGAAGTGCAACAGGCTCATGCCACCCAGGGGTCACCCCCTTAACTACTTACTGTGTACCCTTGCTTTGCACTGAGATGCTCAGACACCACCAGAAGAGCATTCAGGGTGGCTCCTCCGCTCCCAACTTGGGAAGCGGGGTCCTCCACTGTAAGAAGCAGGACATCCTCATCTATGAAGCCTTTCTGTTGCCTCGTCTCAAGTTCTGAAATGAGATTTTTTCCAACATCTCTGTGATAGCTTACTCAAATCATTATTTGTAACAAATTGCTTTTAACATATTTCCTGCTGCATTCTTTCTCATAAGACAATGGTTTTCACAAATTATTTCTTATTTCCTGTTGCACTGTCTTTAAAAGAAAAGTGTCTTGACTTAAACAAATTGTTTGTGTGATATTTCCTGCTGCATTCTGTCTATATCTTACAGATTCCCATTAACTGAAGATACAACATTTCTTTTCTACTGTGGAGAAAGCATTTTAAAAAACACATTTACTTTTGAATTAATTTGAATCTTACTTATTTTTTCACATATTCTTATTGCTGATTTAATTCGACAAAAAATCCTAAGTTTTGTATAAAGTATCATATTCAATTTTACTATCACATCTTTCAAGAAGCTGTAATGGGATGAAAGGAAATGCATCACTATCATCATCTATTCTCATTATGACTCCCTTGAATAATTTTTATAAACTTGAAAAAATTTTATTCTAGCTACTCGTCCAGATCTTCCTTACCTTTCTGACAGGCATTAGCACTGTGCTTGTTCTGGCAGGTGAGCACAATGGCTGTCCACTTCATTATGCTAGCCAACCATGAAAAACAAAAGAATAAATAAGTTAAACATAAAAAAAGACAAGAGTTATGATGATATAAATAAAGCTGACATTCCAATCCAAAGCAGCACTGGTGCTAGCTGTTACTATCTATACATACACATACACATACGTGCACATGTGCGCACACACACACACACACACACACACACACACACACACACACACACAGACAGACAGAAACAAACCTGCATGCACATACACACAAACACACATGCAAACACACACACTTGTGATTGTATTTTTAAAATTTTTTCTTACTTACCAGCCCAGGCAAACAGCACCCGACAATTTATAAGGCTGCGCTCACATGAAAAATCTATTTTCTAAAAATCTATTTGCGGTATCTTGTGATCATGGTCTGTGCCCTGAATACCACGTGGCGTAATTACTGGCAGTGACCAGAATTAATTACAGCTTTGGAAGTAACTGGCTTGTGCTGCCGTGGGGTATTCAGGGCACAGACCGTGATCACAAGATACCGCAAATAGATTTTTAGATTTTTAGAAAATAGATTTTTCATGTGAACACAGCCTAAGTCTCATAACACTCTTTAAAATGTTGAAATAGAAAGTAATGTTGTGTCTTTCCATCTTGGCTGACAAAAACAAACACAAAATCAATGATATTTTCATATACTGAATGACCCTTGTTATGCCTGACTTAGCATAAAAATAAAATAGCAAGGACAAGTCTGTTTTATGTGGTTCTCATAGTCCTGAACCAGTCAGTGATTAACAGCCAAGTTTGGCTGAGCCATTATGAAAAATTAAGAACAAATATCCGCTTTTACAATCCACATACAGTAGCAACTGGTTCTATTTTTAATTACTGGTATAGTGTATCCATTCAGTGATTCACAGCTATGTTTGGCCTAGCCACTGTGAAAAATAAAGAACAAATATCGGTATTTTCAATCCACATATAGCCAACTGATTCTATTTTACTGGTATAAGGTATCTTTTCTAAAGATATGTTCTAGAAATCTCTGTGGTATTCATTTTGCCTAACTGATGAGATTTTGACTCTTTCAAGTTGTATTTTACAAAATTGTTTATAATACAAACATGGTTCATATTTGGTAAATTTGGCAGGATTATTGATAAGACTAAACTTAAAAACTAAAAATAAACTGATTAGTTTTTGAGAAATATTGATAATTGATCACCATTGCAGATGAAACAATGTACAACCATTTTTATCACACAACTTTAAATTCAAATCTTTTACTTTGAATGAGTTTTGAAAAGCAATTTTTATCACTTTATTTTGAAGTTTAAAAAAATGACATTTGATTAATGGATGGAAATTTTTGACACAGTGATAAATTTTTACTAGTACATAAGCAATAAAAACAATGTGCTTTATATCACAATGCACCATTTTTTTAAATGGGAAATTAAACTATTTTTTAAGTACATAAGTAATCTATTGAGTCAAATATAAATTGTGTGGTACTTGTGTCCGGAACATATATAACTTCCAAACATACTGAAATCAATCAAAAGATCATCAATGAATAATAAATACTAGTACTCTCAAATGATGTTAATAATGCAACATACTGTTAGTAAAAAAGACGCTTAAAAAGCTGCCTCTACCAGCATGTGACATTTTACAACCTGATGAAACACAATATAAGATAAATTCTACACTGACAGGCCTAAGCAACATTTTCCATGAAGCGGCTAAAGAGGCTGGGTGTTTAGTACGCACTAAATCTACACGCAAGCATGGGTGGTTCCCACATATCAGCAAATTCTGGTAGTATACATGGACGTCTAATGGTTGCCCTTGGAAAAGCATAATTTATACTATACTACTATTTCCTTTTATGCCGTCAGGCATCTCGGGCACCAATAAAGATATTCCACTGCTCTCTGCCACGAGCTAGGTGTTGAATGGTTCTCCAGATTATTATATTTATGACTGCTACAAAACAGTTGTAAACACATCTGTTAAGGAAGTTTGTCACTTTTACCCCAGAATACTATTAATTCACATATCAATGAAATAAATTATCTGTTTTATATGAATTATAAAGTCAAAGGACCACAGGCTAATGTAACATACTTTGCCAGTGGCAATCTATTGTAGGTCTCTATCAGATGTGAATCTTCTCTCTGTTCACCTTTATAGAGCTGTATGACTACAACATGTACATAAGGCTGTATAGAAATGATTCTTTTCTTATATAATGCCACAAAACTATTACTCATTACAGGACCTGCTTCATTCTTATTTTGCAAAACTTGTCATTTGCATTATAAATACAAAAATATTAATCTATTAAAAAACATCAAGTGCAGAACACTGAAGCAAAGATTCACACAACGTCTTGGTCCTATAACAGGCCTACCCAACTACCAGACTCGGCACATAAGGATCCTGAATTAACCGGTATATCGGACCACACTACCCGTTTTCAAGGTGTGTGTCAGATCGCATTTCGGAGTATCAGTCAAAACACCGACAGGATGAGCCCATTTTTTTCTTTCATTTTAGTACATGATGATAAATTCCAAATTAGCTCATGATGATGGATAAAGAAAAATGACCTAAGCCGAGAAAAACCATGAAAAAACAACTCAAGTATGAGGCCCCCTAAATATGTGGTCTACTTTTTTATCTAAAAAATCATGCAGCATTTTGACTTATTTTTTTCTTCTTTTTTGGTGCATGAAGGCCATTTTCTCCGGATATGTTTGTGGTTTTGTCTCTTTAAGGTATATTTTCAAAGAAAAAATATAATCCGTATCATGACAGATTAAGGGACAATTAAGGGGAAAATATGCTTATGTGTATTATACCGGTAGATCTACAGGTATGTCTAGACACCTTATGGCAAGGGCCATATAATATTGATCCTTAATAATCAGGTCATCGAACACAGGTATCTACACTAAAAGATTTAAGTTGAACTTCATTAATTAAACTCAGCGGTACTACTACTAGCACTAGTATTAGTATTAGTAGTCGTAGTATTAGTAGTACGCGTAGGCGGAGCTACATTTATGACCCCGCGTATGACTTTCTGTTTACTACAGTATATCTTTTAGTTGCAAGTGGGAAAGTGCATCCACCGGTCTGGTCCTTCACCCATGAAGCACGATAAATCATTACTAATAACTGCAAGAGAACTCACCACATGTCGTTTCATTAAGCTGAATCAAGCCGATTGATAACAAAGCCACTTACCTTTCGTTTATCGGGTGTCAAATGTCCCGACAAGTTCATGTATTGGAGAGACCATATATATAAATAGTGTTGGTGCGCAAAGCATTCTGGGATACTGATTGCGTCGGTCGAGTATCTCTTGGCTCACCTAACACATTGGCTATTGTTCTTGATGGGTATGTGTGTCTTCTTGTGTGTGTGTGTGTGTGTGTGTGTGTGTGTGTGTGTGTGTTTAAAATTATTATTATTATTATTTTTAATTTGAGAAGAGGGTAGGGATGGTTTACGAGCTTTGTAAACTCACATGATGAAGAGGGGTATTTGTAGCACATAAGATGGGAAGCTGGAATATCTGTAACTGCCATAGGGAGTACAGTACATAAGTGTGTACCAGAAATTGAATCATGTCCTTTTTTTCTGCTGTAAATTATAGTAGGTACACGCACTTTGATTTGTTGCCAAATATGACATCAGGGTGCATCTCTGCCAAAACTTGCAATTCGACATAAAAAAAAGAACGATGAGCAAGAATGTGCATTAGCTTGATAGTTGATCATTTATGAATTAAAATTTCATATGTGAAGAGACTAATAATAATATTATATTGATTTTACATATATGAAGAAACAACTATTTCAAATTTTATGAACAGTCAATATTTATTTATTTTTTTCAAATGAAATACAACTACATAGTGATGTGATATCTGTATTACCATATGAATTCCAGTACAAAGCACAACTTTGTTCCTTATCAGTTTGTCTTTATAACTTCAAAACATGAATACTGTACAATTCCACTTCATTATATACAAGTAGAATTTCATTCATCCTGCACCTTGGGTGAAATAGAAAGGGCAATACAAACCCACCACTCTCCTGACCTTCTACGATAAATAAATACCCATCATCCATTACAGTCATCTTATTAGTTGTCTGACAATAAAAAAATGAAAAACATAGTCAAACCATTTTAAACAAATTGAAATTGTATAATTAACAATAATGTCTGCTGACAAGTTATTTTTTCTTTTCTTTAAAATTTGGAAGAAATGCTGTACAATGACTATCTGTGTAATTAAATGCAACCCAGTCCAAGGCAGGAGATGCATGGAAACACCTTACAGCAGTTTGATCTATGCTCAAGATCAAAACACATTTAGACTCAAAATCTCATGCTTTTGGATTCTTTCTATTTGCAAGGTTCTTTGAAGAGATTTTTTTTGACAATTTTCCTATCTAAAATACTCTTGGTATGGAAAGACTTCTTAACACTGGGTAAAACTGACCTTTTAAAAGTGTTAAGTTCAAAACATCTCAATCACTCCTAAATTTAGAATTACTGACCTATACCTTTGTAAATGCAAACACTTCTTTTAAGAACATTTTCACACTCTTCAAGAAAGCTTTTAAGCTGCAGCATAACTATGGGGCATGTACTATGGTGAAATAAGTGCACATTCATATCAGAATAATAAAATTTGGCAACTTAAATTTAACCCCCCCCCCCCCTTCAAGAAAAAAAAAACTTGTCTGGAGGTACCTGCCCTCCTTGTGCTCTGAGAGGATTATACTGTATGGTGCCTGTTATCACCTAAATTGCTGCACAAAATAATTCAATTAAAGTCAATTTTTGGTTTAAGATTATTCTGGGCATGCAGACAGCATATCATCCTTAAATAATTCAGAATTGATATGTTTACAGCTCATAATGATGCAACTGGAAAAAACTCCAAAAAAAGACAGTCATCTGACCAAATCAGTTTTAACAAACGATCAATCTCGGCTCTGGAAGCAGAGCAAAAAGATCCAAATGGAGATATAGAGCACTTTCAGAACAGCGGACTAACAGATCCACGGATCAAATATGACCAATTCACTTGTATGCTTGTTGCATGATTCCCGTGGGGAATCTATTTAGTCTTATTGGGAATTAAGCAACAAGCTTTTTAGTGGGTCGCCATATCTGATCTGCAAATCTATTAGTTCACTGTTCTGAATGTGCTCGTAGAGGCTGTTTTCTCAAGGTCCTGGTATTATGTATATATATATCTCTCAAAACCCAACTTCTGGCACAACGAACAACCACAGATATATATACATGGATGTATACAAAAAACGGGGGAAAAATGCATAGATAATATGGTTATCATTTTGATAACAGTTGCAACTAAATCTGATTTAATCAACTTGTATTGAACAAATGTAAATAAATAAAATTATGCACTAACATTACATAGAAATAATCCTGTAGATTGGTCTTTTTAAGTCAGTTAAATTTGAGTTTCAGTTAGCTTTACAGTATGAAAAATGACATTGAACTAAATACATGGCATGTTAATTTGTTAAACTGATTGCATTCAGCGAGAGTCCCCATGGAGTTAGATCGATCTATGTAGACTGTTAGTTTAAATGGGAATGAACACTAAATTTTGTTAAAAAAAGCGTAGAAATCCCTAAGTAACTGGAAAGTGACTAATCACAATCTATCAACTTCAAAAAATTAACATAATACACAGAGTTCCAATATTTGTTTTACAATGTTACTAAATGAGATAACATAAACTGAAAAATTTCTTTTTCTTTTTAAATCTGATCCAAATGACTTTGTTAACTAAAGAGTCTGGCTTTTACAAGGAAGAAATACAGTGTGGAAAAAGTATTATATAAATTCCTACCCACCCCACCAATTTCTTAACAAACCATCTCATATAAATTTCTGTATTGTCATTATCTTGTTCTGCCACTAATATACCATATAATAATATTATATATAATATACATATTTATGAGGATTAATATGTGGATACCAAAAGCTGGAATAGTAGATTTCTGACTTAAGATTTTTAGCACAAAAAGGTCTGCTATTTATCTGCCATATGATACAAAGTATTCACTAGACTGTAAGCTTTCCATAACTATTCATACCATAAAACAAACATTTGAGTAAACAAGATAAAACCTTTAACAACTGATGCTGCATTGTTTGCATGAGATCAAACTAAAAAAAAGAAAGAAAGAAAAAAAATGAACCATGGACTAGTGACTTGGATATTTATAAAATATTTCAATACATTGTGATTAATAACAAAAAAAAGTTTATAGGAATTTCACATATTTCATGAATTTGGTGAACCTCATGAAAGGCAAGATTTCTAGCTACGTTAAAATACATCACAGCCAAAAGACATGTTACGCCATGTAAGAGGGTCATATGAGCAAAGAGACCAGGATATGGTCTTAAAGTGCTGTAGTGTTACTTAGTTACAGTGTATTTGAATCATAATTATCTTCAGGCCCTTTTCACTTCCATGCAGTACAATTTGCTGTTTAACATCATTGTGACTGACAACTTAAGAGCCTGGCTATTATGCAATATAGTCATCTAAGAAGCATTCTGAACAGATGATTCGAGGACTAACTGATCCACTGACTAAATATGGCTGACTCATTTAAAAGCAGCACCAATTAATTCCCTGATGTTCTCCCTGCCTCCACCTGTCCTGTCGCTGCAGGGGCCAAGCAATTAAACCTCGGAGCGACAATTTAATCCATATAATGGCACCTGTAGGGGAAGGGAGACCATCAGGAAATAAGCAGTATTGTTTTTAAGTGAGTCGGCCACATCTAGTCTGCGGATCAACTTGTTCTGAGTGCACTCTAAGGGAGCCCAGGCACTTGACACAGCCAGTTAAACAGATTAATTTTGATTGTGTAAGTATATGTTACCCCCAGCCAAAATGGTGTGAAACAGTAAAGTGTAAAGCACTATGTGAATAGGGCCTTAAATATTAGTCAGTTACAAACTTTAAGACAGACCCATAAAGGGGGGGGGGGGGGTCCTCTGCACCCTAGGTTTTTTTCTTTCTGCATGCATGTTCAGTAATAAGACAGAATATTGCTTCCTCCCCCTCTTCCACCCCCTCCCCTTCAGGTGAATATAATAAAAATTGTTCTAGATCTGCCAAAATTCACTGCTGTAAACCATTGGGTAACCTAGTTTGCATTTGTCTGATCATTCAATGTAAGATGTTGACTTATAAAGAAATGCCCATAAATATTCCTAAAAATTTGAGACCGCAGATTTCTGAAAAATACCTCCCCAGAAGGATTTTTTTACATTAGGACAAGACAATACTGTTCATTGTAGGAAATTAGCCCAATGGTTTGACTGTGGAGATCCAAAACAATTCTCATCTTCCTGCCTTCCCATCCCCATCATATCTACTTCAAGTTGCCAAGACAACAACTTTGTGTTAAGAGAAAAATATGTTTCCTGAGAAAAGATTTTTCCATAGAAATCAAGGCATACTGCAGTCCCTTAGAAATTCACCTATCCTTAGATATTCATAATAATATATATATACAGTCATAAATTCACCATAGATGTCACGTGCACATATTTTACATCTCTACATGTAGATAAGAGGAACAGTTCCAAAGCAGGGATAAGGGAATGGTCTGTGTTCCTGTCACACACACTTGTTCTCCTTGCATTATTCATCTACACAACAGTTCTCAGTCTGAGGTCTGGTCCATCTCTGCACATGGTTGATAAATATCTGCAATTGCTGGCATGTTTTCTATCATGATATCAATTCAAAATCCCATCAGTCCTAATTTAAGGCCCCCATCTGTCTTCTTCTGTACATGACTGCTTTCCAACCGATGTATTAAAATTCTTCTCAATGTTGACCTACGTTTAAAAATTCAATATGGCCGTCAATAAGTAAAAAAATCCAATGTCTGCCTCATTTTTGGTTTCTCATTATCAAAGAAACTCCACTCCACTCGTAAAAACTCGTGCTTTTGTGACTACGTCTCGTCACACTCTCATTTCCAGGTTTCCAATGTGACTCAATGCTCCCTATTGTGACTCAACCATCTGTTTGTCCCTGCCATAGTCAAGAGACCCTCGTTGCCCTGCGCTGTGTCAAGAAGAAGACAAGGTTTGAGCTCCTGAGGGTTGATATAATGTCACTGATGCTATATGGTTGTTCTGCATCACCTGTAGGATAACAAGGTAAAGTTAATAACAGCCTGAACTGGCTACCAGGTACTGGTATCTGTCTAAACTTCATCTTTTGATACAGAGATGGATACCTTTCTCTCTTCAGTGGTTTACAATTTATAATATGTTACTCATAAAATGCAATCAAAACATTTATATGTTTTATTGGATTCCATTTTTAAGGGGATATATATCTTAAAAGTTTCACATACCATAAAAATTGATCATACATAGCAGAAATATAATATGTGAGAGAAATATCTTTACAATACTTTTGTCCTTGCATAAATAAAAACACAGCCCCACTCAATTAAAAATACCTCATATATCATGTCCTGTACCCCATAACAGAAAGTGGACCCAAATGGGTTGGTAGTATTGGTGCTGGAGGCTCTGTTCAGCACCACTGGTTTCTCCATAGGCTTTGCTAGAAACCTCTCCACCTCATCCCACTGCAATATGATAACAATAAAGTTTAGAACACTTAATATTATGTAGACAGTTTGACTGTTACAGTATGTAAATGACACCATATAAAATGGTTCATATTACTTCTAAGCTTTTTAGAAAATCTCTGTATGACCTGGCAGAAACACATCATCTATTTGCTGTGTTCAGTGCCACGACAGGGCATAAATACTGTTATAGGGTATACATGTGTTTTGACAAGGCATATATACTATTGTAGGATATTGAACTGTTGTGACAGGGCATAAAGACACTGCCATGGCATATCAATATGGTGAAAAAAAAAGCTGTGGCGCGTGTACACAAAATCAGTACAGGTGTAGAAATATACCAAAAGACTACTTAAGACAACAATTATCCCCTTTAGAAGGGAACCTTTACCTTGGTGTAAGCAGTAATGACCATCTGAGGATCCCCCACTGCTACCAGCGGCTGCTCTGAGGGATCCCTGGGTACAGAGAGGGATATTCTAAAATCACACCTACTATACCTGGGGAAAACAAAAATAATAATAATCACCAGACACTTTTTACATATTTCTTTTTCAATTTTTTCTGTTGTTTCTGTTGCAACTTCATATTTCTTTTTCAATTGTTCATGTAGTTTCTGTTGTGACTATATATTTCAATTTCAATTTTTCATGTTGTATTTGTTGTGACTTAAAAGAATCATGCGTGACAGCATACTCATTGTAAAAAGTGTGTGTGTGTGTGTGTGTGTGTGTGTGTGTGTGTGTGTTAAAAAGAGAGAGAGACAAAGAGAGAGGGGGGGGGGGATCCAGACTCACATGTTGAAATTATAATGTCCAGGATAATTGGTATGTAGCACAAATTTCTTCACCTTATGAGTATTAGCATCAAACAGTATATCCTGAAAATATGAAAAACACTTCTTGAATATTTAACAAGGGCATTTCTAGGACATTTTACCTTTTTGAATAACTGAATATCAAATCAGATCTTCATTAGTTTAAAACCACACACAATATGTGTGTGTGTGTGTGTGTGTGTGTGTGTG